TTCTTGAGTTTTTAACCTAATGAGAAATCCACCCCAAATCCATATGTCTTTCCGCACCTGCTTGCAAGAGGTGTGCTCCCCACAGGGAGCCCTGCCCCCCATTTTGGGAACCACAGATGTAGTGGTTGAGATATTGTTTACTTATAGTTGCAAAGTAACGCACATATAACCATGCCCATCAAGGTGCTGCTGGCTAAATTAAACTTCTCACTGATTTCCTCCTCAGGGATCCAGAGGTTCTCTGGAAGGCTCCAGACCTGTGGGCCAGGTTGACAAGCACATCCTGCTCCTGGTGCATGGAGTTGAAAATGCAGGTAAGATCTGGGGAATGTTATAGAACCTGAGCTGCGTTTCTGAAAAGGATTAAAAAAGTGTTTATTTCAGCAATTTCAGGGAGCAGACTCATTTGTTTTGGTTAATTTGTAGCTCTTCGTTGACCTCCGTGGGTTGCACTCTAAATGGCAGCGTCACAACCAGGGACTAATAAAAGCACACAGAGACTCTCTCAGGGCTCTGAGTTAAGATTTTTCTGGTGTTAAACAGGATGCACATATTATTTTAAATATATGTTTGAAGTTGCACCTGGACCAGCAACACAGCCAGGAAAATAAATGAAAGGTCCTGGATCCAGAGTCTGAGCCGGTGGTTGTTCACTGCCCTGGCTCTGAAATTGTTTTTTTCCAGTCAAGTAAAGAAAGATGTGATTGAATTTTTTTTAATGTAACTGACAAACAGAAGATGAAAATTCATTTCCAGTGACTGAAGGCTAGTTGAGGCCAAATTGAGCTTCTCCTCTGCTGTTTGTTCCGATCCAGTTTCAATTTTCAGATGTGTGACAAAACATGGTTTGCCTGAAGGATTTTAAAAACAAAGTAGAGAAGTCAAAGGCGGGTTCAGAACCTTTCCAAACACACTGGGATTCACTTTAGTTGTAGCATTTGATGGGTGGTCAGAATTTCTCACTTTCAAAGTTTAGACAATGCTACAGTAAAACTTGTAAACATAGGTTCACAGTATTGATTGTAAAATGATGTACTAATGGGTAAATACAGGGATTCTCTTAATGTTTTATCTCGTTACATTTCATTGTGACTGCGACCCACCCTGCTGTTCCTGCACTGATCAATTTTACCAATACTTAAATGATAATCCAGGCTGCAACCATGCAGTCATTTCAATGTAATATTTATATGTACCAAAGCATTTAAAGTTTAATTGATTCGGGAATTTATTTCTGAATGTTCTAAAATGTGACTTAAAAAAAAAAAGAAACTATGTATTATATTTAAGTCTACAAAAAATATTTCCTTTGCTTGGTGCAGTAATTTATTAAGAGAGAGGAGAACAGAAAGACGTGACTGCTCAATTCCAGAACCATGGACAGTGTACTTCTGAACAAATCCAAAGCTTTTCACAGTAATGTGGTAAAAGCAAATAATAAATGTGTGTTGTCTGTACTACTGTTTTCAAACAATTTCTTTCCCGACATTGTGTTTTAACTTAGTTTCTATTATATTCTATGCTTATAATATATTTGGTTCTCCTGCAAATAAAAGAAAAAAAAATGAAATAAATAAATTAATGATTTGGGAAGATATAAAAAAAAAGAATGGCTTTTATTGATAAAATTTACATTTTGGAACATGAGTATTAAAAGAAGGGTTGGTGATAACTGGAGTTCTGCTATTTACAGCACGCTACTGTTATATTTCAGCACCATGGACAGTTCAGCTGCAGCGGGAAATAAAGTCTCTGGGATTTTTAAATCCTGTTTCTTTGAGTCATCGCTGACTCGGTGCTACAGTTTAACCTTCAGAGTAAAACACATCACAGTCTTGGTTTATTGTTTTCTAGTTTAATGTGTATTTTAGATTTAAGTGAACATTTTGCCAATTTGTATCAACGTATATATCTGAAAAGTTGGGAATAGAAAATTGTAAAAAAACAATATATGTTTGGAAAATTGACCCAGCCAATACACTTAGTTGTTTTTCTTTACATCCAATGTTTAAATGGCATTTAAAAGGTGAGCCTTACTTGGTGTTATATGAGCATCAGTAGTTGAAAGCTATTACTCCTGCAGATCCCTGGATGGCAGTGTTGCGCTGCATGTTTACTGTGATTCTCTATAATCTGTACTTGCTCAGACATCAGTTGTTTTTTAAGCACATGATTCATTTGAATCCTTTATGTTCTCCTTCAACTCACTAAGACTTTGAACCCACCATCTGTGTGTGTATGTGTGTGATCTGTGTGTGTATGTGTGTGATCTGCAGGATAAACTTAACACTGACTGATATGTCAGTCACTGTTTTCTCTCTGTTACTATAGAAGCCATCAGTGGACAGTCAGTCATGACTGGAAATAAAAGCTCTGCTTTGACTCAAGAAGAGAAACATTTCAAACATCTTTTTCTGAGAACAAGGTTGTGTTGGTTTGATGTTGTCTGTCAGTCATCTCCACTGAACCTATGGCAAATAACAGGAACATTGAAAAAAAATACTGTATTTCACAGAATGTCTAAATGCAGCGTAGACTGTCATTGCTGCAGGGTTGGGTTAGAGCAGAGAAAACTCCTGTTCACAGTCGGCCTGAATTTGATTGTTGGTTTTAACATTGGATAAAGTACTTGATTTTAACATCAATTTGAACAACATCTTACATCGTTTTCTATTAATATTTTGCTTTTTGGTCAACCATCGACTACAATTAAACTACAACTACAACCTAAATGTAGACCAAAAATCATGGCTTTACACTTAATACCAATTTGTAGCAGTTTGTCTTTTACTGCTGTTTGTGCTCTTATTAAGGCTAATGCTTTATTTAAAACACAGTTGCCTCCTTTCTAAAACGTCAGACTTCTCTGTCTGCATCGGTCCATCTGTGGGTGACGATGACGGGTGATGTTCTTTGTCTCCTGTGTTTAGGTCCAGAGATCACAGATGAGCTGGTGAAGGTTCTCCGGAAGCGTCTGGATGAGACCACTTTAGACATCATTACTGTCATGCTTGTCAGGAACTGCAAGCTGACACCAGCGGATGTGGAGGTGAATGACTCCTTTTTTTTTCTTTTTGCATACATAGTTTAATGTCCCAAAATGTCTTATGATTAAAACCCAGTCCTCACTGTCAATTTCCTTCCATGCAGTTCATCCAACCTTCTGAATCTCCAGCCACTGAGGTCATGAACTTCACTCTACCTTCCTACTGTCTCTCCTGTCTGCCTGCTGTGGCTCACTACCTCAGGCAGAACCTCCTCATCTTCCTGCATGTTCCCAAGTACACTGACAGCAACACCGCGCACCATTTCAAGGTACGATCCCTGCTGAGCTCTGTTATAGCACAGAACAGAATATCCTGTGTGAATCCTGGGATCCTTTCCCTAAATATGCAGGGAAAAAAAAGATCCGCTGTTGTAATTTTAGAGCCTGCCTCAGAGGACGTGACGCTGTCAGGCAGGGATTTACTGTATCATCTTAAATGCTAAGTTTAGGGCAAACAAATACAATTGTACTTCCTGACAGCAAATATAAATTTGAGCAGTCCCATTACTCCACAGTTTAGGTTATGGATTTAAATTTGGGACCAGCAGTTGAGTCTCTGAAAACTTTTTGGAGCACCAAAAATTAGCTGTCAGTGATGTCAGTGAAATAGCCAGAAATAGACATGGGATAATGTGGCGTTGAGGGAATTCTGACACAAACAAACTTCAGCAAAATCAGGTTTAAGAACTGCAGTTTTTTTTTACCGTGAAATGGTTTATACGTTAAAACAGGCTACAGATGGCTGTATGGATGGAACACAAAGAGGTAAAGATGGGTGAGAGATGGATTCACGATGTATAGAAAGAACAATAGTGGATGGATGAATGGATATTAGAAAGTAATCATTGATGGGTGGATAGGGATGTGAGATGTAAATGATAGAAGGATGGATGTTGGATGGATGAAGGGAGGTAATGGTGCTGGATGGAATAAAGTAAGGAAAGATGGATGGAGTGATAGAAGAATTAAAGAAACAATAGATGATAGATAAAGTGATGGAAAGAAGGAAGACAGGAAGCAGACGTTGTTTTCAGATACACTGAATCCTTGGATGTTCTCCAGATACTGTCATGGAGAGTGGGGCTTCATTTTTATTTATTTATTTTAAGTCAAATGACCTTAAGAGTCACGGGGGACAATCTCTGGAGCATCTCCTGCCAGCTCCAAAGTCAAATCCCTGGATGAAGTCCAAGTGAGTTCACAGCAGGACACATCAGTGAAAGCTGCAGATAATTTGCAGCCAGCACAAAGACACAGGCTCCGTCCCTCGCCTGGACGCCTCTGAGATTATCCTACTGTTCTGGGAGCATCAGACTCAGACTGTCCCCCACTGTGTTGTGTGGTCAAGTGTGATGGTGAGGGGGGACTCTGGAGAAATAGTGGAGCAACTTCCCTGGCAACACCCAGGGCTGCTGTGTGAAAGCAGCTCAAGTGATTTGGACAGGGTTTTTCTCTGAAGCGTGCAACTTAATGACCAAGCTAAAAAGTTGGAGTGAACTAGTCCGACACCAGAGCAGCCAGAGAAGGTTCTAGTGTTGTTGGGTCTGTGGAAGGAATAAGTCCTTTATGGACAAAAACAAAAACAAAAACCAGGGGAAAATCATCGTTCAAGTACCAGCAACACAATCAAGCTCTATGATGCTATAAGTAGTAAAAGTAATATAAAAAAACAGATTCTTACCGACCAAACCCGTAGTGAGTAGACTAACAGTAACAGGGGGTAATTCAATATACGCCATTAACTTTCCCTGAGAATAATCAAATATAACACTGCGGCCTCCTCAGTGTGTGAGCGAAGGCTCAACACTGTGAATAATTAAAGACTGAGTTTACAGTCGTTTTGACTTTTCAAAGTCCTTCACTACTTTAAACCAGACTCAAAATGTAGGCTGAAAAAAAAAATCTGTTTTAGTTTACCTTTTAAATACACTGTACCTGTTTGCTACAAGTGAGTACCTTAAGAAAATACTAAGTCTTCTATTATGTCTATTATGAAATGAGTTGATGTATCTTCAGTATCTTCAGATACTGCTAATAAAAAAATGAATCTGCTGTTTCTGCAGAAATCTTTTGGACAAGTCTCAGTCCGACATCTACAGACTGGTGGTCTTTCCCAGGACTGATTTCTTTTTTTCTCGCCTCTTCTCTCTGCAGCACTACTTCCTCCTGAGCAGTGATGTGGCTGATGGTGACATCTACCTCTACAATAAACCCGGAGGCCAGGGGACGGGTGGCAAAGGTAATCGCCCTGTCAGCGGGACCACACTGCTGTCAGGGTTCTGGGCCTGTGTGTGTGTGTGTGTGTGTGTGTAGAATTGTGGTACTTTTTTCTGACGTCACTGTACGACAAAAGTCATAAAAACAAATAATTACATTTTTTTGTAGTCAGTTCTGAACTCCTAAAACTAAAACACTTCACATTCCTTCTAAATGACTATTGTCACTAAACAAAGTAAATAAAATTACAGTTTTACTGCGATTCCCCAACTGTGACCGAGTTTAAGAATATATTAAAAAGTCAAAATATTTTTTGCCTTTCTCTTTCCCCTCTGCAACAACTTTGCGTCCTGCAAAGGGGCCCTGCCCCCCACTTTGAAACATAGATTAAAGAAAATCATCCTACAACTTGTGTCTACATTGACAATCATCATCTTTTAGTTATAAAAGTCTCTGAATCCCAACTGATTTTTCTGTTTGTTTGGGAACATATTTTTAAAACCTCCCTTTTCCCCTAGGTTTATATTACATAAAATATTACTTTGGTTTATTTTCTGCTGCTGAAGATGCTGCAGGAGCTTCAGACATTTTTTATATTTAGTCCCAGCAATCCATCGTTTGTAACTTGGTACTTTTTATACTCCTGGAAATCTTTTGTGGTAAAGGACAGGTGCAGGGGTAAAAACAAAACGGTGTCATCTTTTTATACTCGGAGCAGCTGAACCCTCAGAACTGGCCGTGAACGTGTCTCTCTGAATCCAGGTATTTTCCCACAACCTGACCTTTCCTAGAAACATGTGCTCAGCGGCTTTTAGTGGAACACCTCCGTCTTCCTGTTCCTGCTTTAGATTACTCTGGTTATGGTTGGTGGTGAATACGTTATGGTTGTGTTAAGGTTGGTGGCTGAGGGACAACCGCTGTGAGGAGTAGGTACCAGGAGGAAAAAGGAGGTTTAAGGGAATGTTATTAACAAGGTTGGAGGTCACAGGGGTCATCCTTTGTCCTGTTCCTTTCTCTCTCTACTCCCCCTGCCCCCCGTGTGTTTCCACCACTGTAGAGAAAACCACATTAAGGTTTTGGTCAGACTGGACTAGAACCCAACTTGGTTTTTATAATTGGTCTCAATCCTAACACTAGGTGGAGTCTTTACCATTAAATTTGACCCTGCTTCAGTGAAGGTCACCATTGGCTGCAGAAAACAATTCCAATAAACTGTAGTAATACAAAAAATGGACAAACATGTTATTGGTTTGTCGTCAGCTAACTTGCAAACAGCTAACAGCTGTAAGTTTCTCTTATTAATTATTTAATAACTAATAATCAGAATCAATCTGTCGATTATTGATCTTGGCTTGAACTATTTATAGCTCCAACTGTTCAATCTATTGATCTCTTGAGCCCTTGATAATTTTCTCTACCTATTTTCTTCTTCTTCTTTCTTACCAGTGTACTGTCCATCGATCTTTACCAATCTATCTATTGATCCATCTATGGATTTGACTGTTATTGTCTATTGGTTTTACTGTCTACCTATTGATCTGTCAAACTATACCTACTGCTCTATGTGCATCTCATACTCTCTCTCTACAGATAAATAGATCTATAGATGGATGCACCATTATGTAAATCAATCTACAGAAATATTGATCTACCCGTTTGTTCCTCTAGCTCGCGATCTATGTACCGATTGACTGATCGATCTACCAGTTGATCTGTTGCTCAAACTGTCTTTGAGCAACTATCCTTTTAACCATCTGTCAATCAGTGAATTGAATGAGCTACGAATATATCAATATATCTGTAGACCATCTATCCATTCATCTGTTGCTCCATCTGTACAACCAGCTCTGTAGCACCCCCTGTAGAGAAGGAAGGAGGAGCACCATGTTCTATGTCGGTGAACATGTATTACCTGCAGATTCCTCCTTGGTTTCTAAGAAAAAGACGTTTTTTTTCTGTGCAATGGTTGTTTACTGTGACGACATGAATGGTTCACTCTGACTGGACGTTGTGCATCGACTCCAGGCTGCTGTTGTGATGCTGCTGCTTGTGTGGAGTTAGTATCAGGATCTGCTGACACTTCCTTCTACTATTTATATCTAGCCTATTAAATTCACAACACATTTTCCCTCCACTGACTGTCTGCCATAACAAAGCTCTTCACTCTCTCTTTTTCCCTCATTATTCTTCACACTCTGCTAATTTATTAGATGAGTATCAGCACAATTATTTTCCGGGTCTCATTTTTCTTTTCTTTTTTTCAATTCTTCTCTGTGAACACCAAACCCACAGCTCATGTCTTTCTGCTGCAGCCACTGATCTCATGTCTCTACCAGCCGTGTTGTTCCCTCACAGTGTTCACATCAGTTATGTGTTTGTATTTCCATTGTTGGCTAATTTGCTCCTGTGCCAGAGACAACCAGACTGTAAACGATCACTGGCTTGTGGATTTAATTACCTGCCGTTCACCTGCAGACAGGGAACATATGAAGAGCTGCAGGCTTTTTACTGGTCACACGGTGTGGTCACTAACCCTCAAATGTTGGTCTGGGACAGTCTGGGCTCCAGGTTTTGTCAGTCCCTCTCTCTCTCTCTCTCTCTCTCTCTGTTTCTCTCATAAATCTCCCTGGCAGCCAGGAAGCATCAATCCCATTTCACATTTCAGTTCTCTCTTGTTTATCAGTGCGCTCACATCATCCTGCAGCATTCCAATCAGGTAAAGTGGGCTGAAAGGTTCCTAGGTTCAGTATGAAAATGTGGCTGTTGAATGTGAATAAATATCCTCCTCTCACAGTGACTCTCACTGACTACGACCTGGGCAGCATTGTTAATTTCAAGCCGGCTGATATGAGGTTTTTTTTAGCTGGAAATACAGATCTGTCTGTTCCTAAAACTTTTTTCTACCAGAATCTGCTTCGGCTCATGCTTTAGGCTTATGTACCATTAGTTTACTAGCTGTACTATGTTGTTGACATAGAAGCAGTTTCCTTTGATGCTGTATATTGTGCAGTGGCAACAATCTGGCCAATACACGATACAGGGGCAACGATACTGTAGTCAAAGTAACATCACAGTAAAGACACAATGTTGTACCATCTGAACATCAGGTCACTAACATTGGAACAGAGGGATCTACATTTGGAATCAAAAGAGAAGAAATAAAAGAAAAAGAAAAAGAACCAACACCAGGAATATCTGACTGTAAATTGTTAGTAAAAAATCAATACACTGATAGAGAATGTTGGTACGGTATTGTGAAATGAATTATCTCAATATTTCAGTGTATCGATATTTTCTTCCACCCCTAGTGCACACACACACAAACAGTATACACACAGAGACAGAAGCATTGAACCATCTGTGGATCAGGAGCAGTGGGCTGTTTGGTAATGCACATGGGGGGCGGGGGGGGGGGGGGGGGGGGGGTAGTCAGGGTCAAGTTTTCACGCTTGCACATCACACCTCAGCTGTGCCGAGGGCTGGGAATTGTGCCAACAGTCCTTTAATCACAGACTGATTCTTTGACCACAACGCTGTGGCTCTGCTGAAGAAGGGAGGCATTCAGAGCACCATGGATTAGCAGTCTGCTGAAGTCTTAATAATCAGATTATTTTGTCTTTCTTTTGCTGTAAACTACATGTTGTTGTTGGTCTGAATGGTCAGAAAGGTCAGCCCTGGACTGACCTGAATACCAGTTTTTACCACATTCTAGATTGGGTTTTATGTGGAAACGGGTTGGTGTCCACTTGTAGTTCCAACTCTTGAAACCTTTTTCAGAGCATGATAATTCTGTTAATTCATTCTTAGCTACTGCCTCACTCATACACAAAAAAAACTGACACTGACGTCTGGTAATTTGTTATATTTGAAGTGTAGAAAAAGTTCTGATGTGGACATGTGGATGTGATCTGCTGACGTGGTAGAGCAAAACAAAACAGTGACAAAGAGATGACCATTAAAATCCAATATGCAGTTATCAGTGGTTAAATGAAAATGAGTTTTAATTTGAGTGGTGATGAAGTCCAAGTGTCAGAGCTGAATATGTGAACCTGCTGGTGCTTCAACACCTCTCTCCCTCCCTCCCTCCCCCTCCTCCTCCTCTCAGGTATCGCCTGTGTCACCCTCTCGTTTGTGGATGCTCATGGTCGCCCTCTTCAGGGGTCATCGCAGGACTTCGCCCCAATGCCCAAACCAGAGAACACCTTTGGCCTCCTTCACTCTGACCAGTTTGATGAGCTGACCAACGTAGTCAAAGTGGACTCCATCCCTGTCAGCTCAGGTAGGAGCTTCATATTTACTCACTGATTTGAGATGAGATGTAAGAATTAGACAAAGCTTGGTGTTTGGAATTTTACATAAAAATTGGGCCTCAGAAGAAAAAATATTTAGAAATTAAAATATCAAATCTGTACTATTCTTCGGTGGTAAATTATTTCTGTGTAGTTTTCTTCAGGGTGTCTTTGACACCATGGTTTTTTTTCAGTTTAGGGGCAAAAATGAAAACCAGCTCAGGTTTTACAGGTTTTGGTTTAAACCTTTTGCTCTGATTTTCGTGGTCTGTTTTTGAAGGTCAAAACTCAACAGCACAGTTGGCCAAAGTGCTGATGAAACACAGGAAATGATTGAAAGACATAAATAAATTCAAATAGCAGCATTAGAAACAAACCAAATGATTGTATTTGGTCATAATTTATCTGGAGCATCGTTATCTCTGACAGTCACTTTAACCACAATTCTCCTCTGTCTCTGTTTAAAGTTTATTTTTATTTATTTATTTTAACGAAATTGCGTTTTATTTACTTTGTTAACAAGTGTGCTGCCTATTATGGGAACATTATGAAGATGGAGCAGGAGAAGCATCAGTGCAGTGAGGTTAAAGTAGTGGGATGCAGACTAATAGCTGAGGACTTCATTATCCTGTGTTTCCAGTACAGAAGGTCATTAAGGGTTCGGTCTTTCTGGCCTGTTCTGACTCATGTCCTGTACATCATCATGCAATGACTTGTTGTGCAGAGGTTGACTGTGGGCAGTGGAACATATGAGAATGAACCAGAAGGTGAGATCGAGATGTCAAACCTCTGATTTCTACTCAAAACATGTACTATTTTATGGAAATACATTTTTATAAATACAAATATACAATCGAACTTTGCCACAAGTTTATTGTATTTGTTTTCATTACATTCATTCATTTACAGTTTTTCTGTGGCATCAACTTTTGTGACTCCAATGCATTACGAGGTTTCTGCGATTCCCGGGAGTCGTGTGACTTTATAAACCGTGCTAATTTGAATATGGCTTAATTACACTCATAAACATCAAACTAGATCATGAGCAAAAGTGTCGCTATTAAATTTAAACCCCTAACACTAAACGTCTCTTAAATTGAACAAGTAAATCATCCTGGTTAATGAACACAACTAATATATGAAGAGTTTTTTTTTTGACACCCAGAGGCTAAATTTGTCAAAGTGACAGTTCACCAAGGGCCCATTGATCACAGTGAAATCTCAGGTTCAGGGGTTTATTGATTATAATTTGGGTTATGAAGTGTTAGTTACACTCCTGTGTCTGTGTCTTCAATGGGGGAAAATTCCAAAAACATTGGACCCAAGCTGTTTGGCATGGAATGATAAAAATGAAAACAACCTCAAATTGCAGCTTCAATCATTTCAAGAGCTGAGCTTCTGGATGTTCGTATTATTCAGAATGACATAATGTGGACTATTCAGTACAACATTTAAAGAAGTGTGCAAACAACAGTCACTTTTCTGTTTATGTTTGTCTTCGGCGACAGCTTTGGCTCAGCAACAGATCTCTGCGATGTATCGCCATGTGTCTGGAGAACTTATGTTGGATTTTTATATATAGTGGCAGGGAGGAGGGGGGAAAGGGGGAGTAAATATAAACAAGTCAGTGTTGTGGTCCATCACTCTGTATTGTGGTCCAAGAGCCTTTATTCTGGTTCACAAGTCAATACTGTGGTCCACGAGTCAGCTTCGTGTCCATCAGTCAGTGTTGTGGTCCATCTCACTGTATGGTGATCCACTATTCATTCTCTCATCTGTTTGAACTCAGGCCCCCAAAAGAGTTGTACATTTTTGTCTGCTGAACGTGTTTCCTGAAGTGAAGAACTGAGAGTGTGTGTTTGTGTGTGTGTGTGTGTGTGTGTGTGTGTGTGAGTGAGTCAGCAGTCAGCGCCCGACACAGGGAATAAATGTGTTGTTTTCAGTGTGTTGTTAGTTAGTGATCTGAGCTGAGTGATTCAAACCTCTGTCAGAATAACAAGGTTTCTTCTGGGAAAAAAAAAATAAAAACATCTCTGTATTAAATCCTCACCCCTCAGAAATATCAGGCTGTAAGCCTTTGTTCTCTGTTTTTCCTCTTTTTATCTCTGTCAGACCGTAACATCATCGATGCTTTAAATACAACTGTAACATTTAGAGTCGACAGGATTTCTGCCCCAAATGTTTACTCCGTTCTCTCAGTTTTTTGAAGTCTGTTTTCTGTCCTCTGACAGAACCAGCTCTCTATGTGCGCTTTGACATCTGGGAACAAGGCAACATCAGCCCATTGCAACTGAGCGATAAACTGCAGGGGGCACTGCGCCACGCTCTCTGCGACATAATAATGGAGCTCAGGATGCTGCCTCATCCTCTGTGTGTGGGTGTGCAGTGTCCAGCAACCAAGGCTCAGAAAGAAGAGGCTAAACAGGTCATCGCCACAGGTCGGTGGTTTTTCAGGTTTTGTTTTTCATTGTAATTGTTCATTGTAACATTTCTTTACCTCTGCTTCCAGCTCCTCTGATTCCTTTGCCTGAGTTAAAGGAAGTGAAGGAAAGTCCCAGACAGCGCAGTGGCTCACGCGTGTATAAAAGCAACCCCACTCCCATCACCTTAACCCAAGCTTTTGGGAGCACACCCATGGCTGGGGTCAGTACTCCAGAGTCCACCACACCTACAGGAAGGAGCACCCGCCGCAGCTTCTGGGACATACTGGTCAGTGCCTAAATAAACGCATGTTATTGGTTTGAAGGTTAGCCAAAAGATTTGGCGTCATTTAGGTTATCGGTCCCCAACCATTTTGTACTGAGGACCGGTCGGCCGGTATTATTTACTGCGGACCGGTTATACTGGACCATCGTTAGAGGATCATTATCATTTTCTAAATCAAACATCTCCCAGACTTTCTTCTGTTAGTCTCAGAGTCTGAACGACCTAATGTTTTGAAACATTGACAGATTTTCTTTGAATGGAGAAAAGTAAAGGGATATGACTGGATTTTTGAATGAAGTAAAGTAGTAAAAACTGAAGTACATTTTTCCACCCTGTCCCACTGCAGCCCAGTACCAAACCAGCTGCTGGTTGGACACCCGTGATTAGATGACACTACTGTTTTAAGAACACATTGTAACCAATGAGTCATTTTTTGCATTATCTGAGCCACATCACCAGAAGTGTTCCACAGTATTTGGTCATAGTATTTTGTTCTTAAAAATGACTTAATAATAAAGAAGTCCCTTATTATTATTCTTTTGCAAAATTTGATATTTATTAAATAACAGCAACTTAAGGAAAAAGTGAACCCGCAAAGAAGACGTTTGGCATTTCATGCACAATATCTCAGAAATCCAATGAAGGCTAAAACAAAAACATGGCTGCTACAGCCTAATGATTCCTCCAACAGAAGTGTATATGACAGGAATTGTGTCTACAGCTACAAAATGTCAAAGAACCAACATTGACCAACAACAGGAGGTGATGAGCAGCAGCAGAACCACCAGTCGGGCTCAGTCAGTTCCTCTCCACTCTTTTTCAGAGTAAACAAGATTCGTCAGAGCTGGGGAGCCCCAAGACCACTGACGACATCGTGCAGGAGAAAGCAGAGGAGGGACGAACTGCTCGACGCAGGCACAAGACAGAGAACATGAAGCAGCAGTGGAGCCAAGAGAGGGCAGTGACTGTGGAGCAGGAGCAGGCCCAGAGGTGGAGAACCCTCCCTTTCTCTCTGTAAATGTGTGAAGCTCAGCTCATGGTTATTCAGAGGCAGCTGGGATTAGCTGCAGATGTTTCACCTTTGATCTGAGACGCTGCTTCTGTTTGGACCGAGATTCTCTGTCGGTCTGTGTTTCCCCAAGACTCCTGTCAGAGTCTCCTGTGTTTAATCTGTGTGGAGACGAGGTCAGCATGTTCTACATCTCCTCATCTTTTCTGGGATTTTGGCCAATGCATATTAGCCACCGTTTAACTTTTAGCTCATTTTTTAAAAAAGTCTTTTAGCTGACTTTTTTTTTAAGTGAATCTGGTGAACATCTCCTGCCTCCGCCTCTGACAGCATAATTTTTTTAAGTGAATCTGGTGAACATCTGCCTCCGCCTCTGACAGCATAGTTAAAAAGTAAAATGTTAGTAAAAGTATAAAAGTGTAGTTCAAGTTTTTTTTTAAGTTTTTTTATCTATTATATTTTGGCTAACAAACGTTTCAGGTAGACTTTTAAAAAATAAATTCCATTTTTTTTTTTGGTAATTTTCTTTACCTATTTCTGACAATATTCAGCAATGTTTCATGCTAATTTTTTAAAAAGACCTTTAACTTTAGAAGAACAAAAAACAAATTAATTTTTATGTTTTATCCACTTCCAGTGCTTCCAAAGGCATTTTTTATGCACGGAATAATGCAGGACAAACAAATATTCTGACCGTCCTGCATTACTTTGCCCAGATCCTAAACAGTGCAGTGCTGTGCTGACCAACGCTCCTACAACAGTTTGGTTTAACAGTGTCATGAATTTCCTGCTTTTAAAAAGCCAGCGTCTCAGCACCTGGCAGAGAATTCACTGATACATGACCGTGAAGTTGTTAAACTACCACCGCCCTGCTGTTAAAGTGCTTTAATGCCCTTTAAATGGATGAAATGTCATTTATTATTTGTGGACTTTTTTTATTTTGGGCTGTGTAGGAGGCAGTTGTCTCCTTTGGAGGAAGGTGATGCAGGCACTTTACACCCTGTCTACCAGGTGGGCTGCCAGCTATGGATCACTTTTATGGCCCAACTTGGTAAGTGTTATTTTTTCTGCTGGATGTGGGGTCAAACAGATTTTAATCTTCTCGCCTTTAATGATTCTGGCATTTTTCTTTGAGATCAGCTTTTTTTTAAATTCTTTCCTCACAAGCAAGAACTTGCATAGTTGCAAGATTTGATTAAAAAAAAATCACAAAGAGAGGATCAGCCTCAAGAAAGGTTTTCAAGTATACATGTGACAATGTGGTTATTCTGCACAATTTGTGTTATTCCCAAAACTTGGTGTTGTAAAGTGTTTCATGAAAAGCTCTGAAACCTTGTGATCCCGACTCTCTTTGATATTCTTCTCACTTCTTAAATCTTTTGCCAGAATGTGAAAAATGATTTCAGAGAATCCTGTATCTCCAAGAGATGGATTTGATTCTCTGTGAGCTGATGCACTGCTTCTCCCACTCTCTTTATCTCTGCTTCGTCCTGAACAGGCTGCCCCTCCATTCAACAGTGCACGGCTGAAATCGCCTCTCGCTTCCTGCTGTCGTCCATCCTGACGGAGGTGGTCAATTTGGTCAGCTCGCTGGCCAATGACACGACAGTAAAGGTGTTTGAAAGAACTAGGTGAGTCTTTTTGGTATGAATAAACTGCATTTAAATATTCAGGCTGTACTTTCTTAACAGAAGTGGTTTCTAAAATGGAGGGCGTGGCTTACTTAGGGATGGTGTTTCAAGAAAGGCGTGGCAAAGTTACAAACTACAGATCAGAACTGACATTGAGTGTCAGTCTCACAGCTGCAGCCACTGCTGTAGTTCACTTTCCTTTAAATATGTATTATTTCTTTGCACATTTTATTTCATTGTGTAAAAAATATTATTTTTCTTTTCATTTAAAGCTCCATATATATGTGTTTGTGTATGTGTTTGTGTATGTACTGTTATTACTTGTCTGCAACCATTGTGCTTCCCGGTACAAACATGACTAATTGCTGATGTTAAGGTGGTCATTTTCTGCATCCACAGACTTAAATTACATTAAATGGCAAACACACTGTTTTTATCTAGAGCGTCAAAGCTGCTCTCTGTTTGTTGATGAACTGAAACGTTAAAAGGGATGAACATTAGTGAAGGCCACGTAAACAAGCCAGAACTGACACTGACGCAATTTACAGCCCTGCGATAAGTGTTTTTGTTTTTGTCTCGGGCTGAATAAGTGACGGCAGAGACGGATTCCAGTCAGTGAGATAGTGATATGGTGAATGAAGCTCTTAGTGCAGCTGCGCATGGTGGTAGTACTTTATATACTTTATACACCTGTATTCACTTTGTGAATACAGGTGTGAAAATAATCTTGGAAAAATATAATTATTATATAGAAATAATGGTTCAGAAACAGTTGCTCTGTCAGACAGGCTGGAAACTGGAGCTGGAGGATGAAGATGCTGAGATCTTCGTTGAAGTTGGAAAGTAAATTTCTTGTCATTGTGACCTCTGCTTTTACCCCATCGCCAAGATGGTGGGCTGGTGGACTCGAACCAGCAGTCTTCCAGACTCAAGTCCGCTTCCTTAACCACTAAGCCAAACTGCTCTATTTTGCGGAGAAGATCTGCAGAGAAGATCTGCTGGTGACCACTAACAAAAAAAAATAAAGAAACAGATTTTAACCATTTTAACACATTTGTCTTGGTTCTACTTCTTCCACCTGTGCAGCTGCCCAACCTCTGGAGATATGTTCATTCCATTCACTCATGGTCAGAACTTCAGTCGACCTGCAGACGTGAAGAGGAGCTTCATCCTTATCGGTCGCAACTTCAGTCAGTGGCTTTGTAACACAGAGCAGGGTGAGTACCAGCAACACTGACTCTGTACCATCTGAACCATACCAGCTTTAAGTTTAAAGTCATCAGAAACTGGAGATACTTCGACAACTAGGTCAGCTGTTCAGTTTGGTTTCTTCTGTTAGTTTTCACATTGTTAACATTTTATGACAACAGTCTTTTCATGAAGAAGCCAATGCTACAGATAGCTGAGGAGAGTTTGGGATGTTTCTCGTTGACTCTAATAATCTGTGGACATTAGGTGTCAGCTCCTGTGAGACCCTCATCGTCAGTTTGGACATGTCTTTCTTCACAGAGCACTTTAGATTTTGTTCTCACGCTCAGCAGAGCTTCTGTCAAAACGCTCCAAAATAAGTGTGTGAAGTGCTGTTAGCGCTGAGCTGCAGGGGAAACGGTCTTTATTCATCAGTGAGGCCTCTGTAGATGCCAACAAACAGACACAAAAAGTAACAAAAATAGTATATTATATATATTTTTTTTAATTGCGACATTTATCTCTATTTTAAGGTTCTCATTCACAGATCTTTTCACCTTTGTTTTCTGCATGTCCTAAATTGACTTTGGTAAACATTTTAATGCCTGTCAGTCAAAACAATGTCCTGAAGAGGAAAAAAACACAGTAGCTCCAAGAATATATGATAAATATATTAACCTAACAGGCTAACAAGTTCAACAGGTTTCACATGTCTACTACATTCAGAGTAGTACAAACTCACAGTGGTGTCTGTACCAGGACTGTTGTGGCTAATGTTAGCTCTGGTGTCTGCCATTTAAGTATTACACTAATAACAAAATCCAAAGGCCCAGTATTTGCATACAATGTATCTCCCAAAAACGATACCATTAAAGTTAAAAAAAATATTTTCTTGAGCTCACTCAATACATCCTTGCTGCTTTGCTGCCACCTACTGGGCTGGAGTGTTTGCATGAATGTATAAATCTGGCCGAAAATTAAGAAACAGACAGATAAAAAATGTCATTAATGTATTAATCAGAAGTCCTTGCCTTAAAACTTTCTTGTGCACTAACATGCAAATGCAACATTTTCTACTCATGTACTCAGTGTAGTGTAATTATCTTAATAATTCTTCACTCCTAATCTCCAGCAGCTCTGCATAGACATGATTGACCTTTGTGAAGTTCACGCTCGTTACAACTATCATATTTGATGATGAAAATACTTTGTCAGCGATGTGGCACCTTTTTTTAACACATTCACCTGCGTAGCATGTCAGGATTATATTTTAGGTCTATATTTCAGCTTCACTGAGTTTCTAACTCTTTGCGTAAATACTCTGTCCAAGTTGATAAACTTTTTTAATTTTGTAAATGTTCAAAATAGTTTCTACTGCCTTCACTAAACAGGATTGATAATTTTGACACCTGACAGAACTTAAACTTCCAATGCAGAATTTATTTATTTACAAACTTTATACATTTGTTAAATGAAACAGGACGGAAGAGAAATTATACCGTGTTAGTGCTATTTTTTTTAAGTTTGTGAAGAAACTGAAATGCCACAAATTTTCCGACCGCTGAAACTAAATCCAAGCATGAAAATGTCTGTCATCTCTGCTTTGAATCCCGTCTCTCAGTCCATGCTCGCTGCTGTCTAACTTCTCTGTGTCATTTTGCAAGTGTCTGCTTACATCACTGAGTGTGTGTCTCTTCACTGTTCATGCTGCCTCGCTGTCTGCTCCATCTCTGTCCGCCCACAGACGACAGTTCAGATGAGGAAGTCACCCCAGTGCTAAATAGGTTCACACGTAAGTTGGCCTTTCAGCTTGGCACGTTCGATGCTGACGGCATGTTGACACTTGGTGACATAAGTATAAGGAGAAATGATGCAGAATATTGACTTGCTGTATGTATATGTATTATTATTAACACAGGCATACAGACAATTGATGCTATAGTTATTCTTGGTGCAGTTTCTGACCAATTTAAATTCCTTGTACCACAAGAAGGGGACCCAAGTACCATCAGTTGCACATGCACCATAGTTTGAGAACCATCTATTTAAAGGATTGAACTAAAGACAACCCAGAGTAAAATACACAAAAAGGCATGTCACAGTGCACACCTGACTCTGACCGACCCAACGTCCAGCTGTTGTAGTCATATTTTCTTGCCCTTTGATATGTAGCATTCTAGAACAGAAGTCCTGATCTGTAGAGTCCTTTTTTTATTTTGCTCTCTCTTACATCCTTCAGCTGGAGAGTGCCTTCTGACTCTTCACTCCAGAAGCTTCCCCTCACGATCAGCCTGATGACAAACTCATTAAAACCCACATAATCAGCTCCAATGACTGCTTTTAGCTCTTAGCTGCTTTTGTTTTTGGCTTCTTTCTTTATGTTATTTTTTATTTCACTGAACATTGTGCGATGTGTCGAGAGGTCTTATGTGTGTGAACGATGATGTGCACTTGACAGTCGCTGCACATCTGCCCGAAGACAGAGCCCGGTGGCTAACATTGACACTGACAGAAAAATGAGAGACACAGCTGCCAACTTTAGTTTGAAAAGTTAGTGGCTAATATCCCTGAAAGCTGTGATAGCATTTGAATATAAATTTCCTCCTCTATTCTTTCCCAACTGGGACAGAACTTCCCTAACATTTCTGCATAAAGAAAGTTCAATGAACGGTCCCTGGCGAGGTTGTAATTTCCTGTCCATTGTCTGGACTCTGACAGGTAAAGAACAGGTGAAGGACTGTCCTGACGGTCCCTTTGGAGCCTGGATTCTTTCAGGCTTTGATTCCTCTCTCTGTCTTTTTTCGTCCCTTCAGCTCATAAGGGCTTTCAGCGCTTTGAGGCCCTGGAGCACAGTGATTGGTTCAGTCCAAGCCAAGCCAGGGCTGGACTGGCTCCTCGCCAGAGGTTTCTATTCATCAGCATCCTGGAGAAAAAGGTGAGTTGGTACATGGAAGACTCTGTGGTTTAATTATCTCAGCGCTCCTGGAAATGCAGTGCCTACATTTTTTTTTTTTTTTTTTTGGACTTATCTGTGACTAATCTTAAAGTCAATGAATAATTGTTGTGAAGTCATTTCCTGATTCATCTGTTTTTGTCTGGTATTTTTTCCGATGTTGTTTCCAAAAAAAAACGACTGGTGCTTGTCCTCAAAAGATGAAGACAAAATGTTTTTTACGGAGTAACAAAACCAAAAATATTCAATAGAATTTCACAGAAGAAAACAAGAACAATTGCATCGCTATAGTAACAGATTTGTAACATTCAGTCACACACTCATTCCTGTTTATCTCTTATAACTGAACATTTTCCTTTGACACTGATTAAATCGTTTATTAAATACTTTATTTCTTAGGTTTCTCTGTACAGCTATAACTGGTCTGTGGATCTCGGCACCTCCTTGAACCGCGAGCTGGTTCGACTCATTAACTGGCAGAATGCGAGGGCCCACGTTGTTCACTGCCTGCTAAACCAGAAGATGGGTCTCTTCCACCACTTCTGCTTCTCCGACACACCTGTCCATGAAATCGACCCCAAGCAGGTAGAAAAACAGAGTTGCATTTGTATTTTTCTGGTCATTCAGAGGTTTCATAGTAACATTTGAAAAAAGTATAAATCATTTCAGACCAAGGTAAAGTTACAAAAATATAAAAAAGGGACTTTCTAACGTAGCCATAGATATGTTAACCAGAGTGTCATCAGCATATTGCTGCACAAAAGTTATACACAGAAACCTTTTAGTCACTTTTTGTCAAGACCAATATTTTTTTACAAATTACTTTAACCTTTATTGAACAATAAAAATAAGTATATTTTTCCAAAATATCCAAAAACCCTATTTTGAAAGAATAATATGCCACCCTTCTGTCCCATTCTGAAGAATAAATACACAAATCGAACAAAAATAAATGATCACAGGGACAACACAACAGCACAGCTGGATGTGAAATATTGTCATCAATTTCTGTACCGTACTGTTCTGCACTGCACTGTACTGTACTGAACCAACTCCCTCTCTTTCATATTGTCCTTAACCAAATTGATAAATTTTCACTGCTACATCAATAACTCACTGCTCTCCCCGTGCTGCGTTCTGCTGTGATATTAAACTGTGATATGAGTGCCGGGATAATTCTGCCTTCATTTCAGAGAGGACACAAAAAATAACTAAAAACAATGGCACTATTTAAAAACTGCCTAAATTTTAAATAGCATAAACAATAAAATATAATAGCATTTATCCTCTACACGCTGTGAAAACACAGAATAATGCACTGAAATGTTTGACATTAAAACTCTAATCTTAGTAGAGACAAAAACCTAAAACATAAGATCCATAAAGTATTTTGCTAAACAGCAAAAAAAAAAAAAAAAGAAAGAAAAATCAATATTTAATTAACTGATCTTTATCTTGAGAAGAATATCAACTTTATGGTGATAAGAGTTACTGCATCGTTTATATCTGGGATAACTATAAACATTACTAAAGAGAATAAAGTTTTTTTTACTGCAATGGTCTGGAAGATTTTTAAGTACCTCTGAGTTCTGTTCCCTTGTTTGGAGCCCACTCTCAGGGTCTTGGGTCTCGACTCGGTCCCTGTTCTGTCTGTTCTCCCACAGAGTCTTATTTATCAGTGGTAACACAAACTGCAACAGCCGCCAGTGTGGGTTTGTTATTTAGATAAATGTGCAGCACCGTGTAAATGTTTTAGTGACTAAAAGTTAAACAGAAAAAAGGTGTTTTCAGCAACAAAGTTGAGGAAATGCTGCTCTGTTCAAACTGTTTCCCTAATCCAAGTAGAACTCATTTGTACCTGCATTAATTCCACTGGAAACAAGTGAACTTACACAAAAGAAAGTTCCTGTCGTTTGCAGACACATTGGAACATTTAACTCTCATTTGTTCAGAATGTCCCTGGATAAACTGCTGGCTTTGTTATTGAGCTTTTCTCACCACATGCAAATGACGAGTCACAGCAGTAATACAAGAAAGCAACATGGATTTTCAGCAGTGTAACTAAAGTTTCATTACACTCCTCGTCTTTCCATCTCCTTTGTTTTCCACCCAACAGCTCTGATTAAAGACGTTAACACACTATTGTTTTTTAAAGTGTGCTGGCAGTTATAAAACAGTTCCCTCAGCATATTTAATTTCCCATCCTGCTCTCCTGCGTCCTCACATCGATGAGTCAGCCTTTAAAGCAGCCTCACTGTTCACATGAGTGACTCAGACGTATTCCTGGATTCAGATAGAAATCATTTCCAAACTGCTGGCTGAGGATAAACACAAATACACAGAGAGTATAATTCACACTGGCAGTAATGACACCTGACTACATCAGGCGGAGATTACTACATTAAATATTGAGTTTGCCAGGACATTAGCAGAGCTGTTTGTCATTATTTTGCAGCTGTTCACTGAGATGTCCAGCTAAATATTCAATTTCAGACAATAGCTGGCAAACTTTTTCAGGGGGGAAACTTGGTCAAATGAGACAGAAAGCCAATTATCCCAGTTTGAGTGGAGCAGTGCTCATAAGTAGTCATTTTGGAGAGGAGCTGAACCGACGTCCAGATCCAGGAAACCCCACAGAGACTGTGACTCACTTGGCTCCACCTTCATGTAATTATATAAATCAGATTCAAATGTGACGCAGTGGAGTGAATGAAGCTCTTCACAGAGGGAGTCCGGTTCAGGGTCAGGGTCCAGTTTGAACCATGGTCGAGATGGAAATACGATCAGGGCGGGGAAAAACAGATTATGTCTGTATAGTGGTTCCACGGTGTAGCAGTTATCACACCACAGCCTTACAGGCTGAAGGTCCTGGGTTGGAGCCACAGAGGACCTACGCACTTGGCGCCCCCCATTGGGCAGTTTGCTGTAAACACAACAATTTCCACACAGTGGAAACAATTAAGTTTAAATTTATTTGTGGTTTTATAGTGTAGTGATTATCAATGCCTGCTTTAAAAGTAGAAGGTCGTGGGTTCGAGTCCCGGAGGAACCATATACTTAATGTTGGCAGCTGGTATGTATTACAAAGTATCACACTTACCTCATTGTAATGGACTTTAATTTTTTTTGTTCATAACTGTGTTAACAATTAATGCTAATTATAATTTATAATTGCATTAACAAATAATTTGTTTAATTATTTCACTTTTGAATTCTTAATTTTGAATAGACATATCAAAAAATCACAGGTCACATGAGGGGTAAGATTTTGATCCGGTCTGGTTTTGTACGGGCGTCACGTGTGTCATTAAAAAAAAAATGTTCCAGAGAGTGATAGAAATGAAGGAAAAAAATGAGTTATTGATTATTCCATCATTTGTTGTAAAGTAATGCGTGCCTTATGGAGAGGCTTAATACCGTGTCTCTAACAAGATACAGAAGGACACACTGTGAATGAGTGGGTGGAAGCATGAGTGAGCGAGCGTGAGTGGATCGAAGCGCTGCAGGCCGCTGTAGCCCCCGGACCTTTCACCAGGTCAATCTAGTCACGGTGGTGGGGCCAGAAAGTGGTCTGTGTGTTCGAAGCAGGGATGGAAGATAAGCAAACGCCTCGTGCAACACTTTGCCATATTATTGTGTAGGACAGAGGGAAGTGGGAGTTTGTTGGAGCAGCTGTGTAAAAGACCAGTGTGCCCTTTTATTCTGCCCCCTACGACCAATTAGTCTGGGAAATGAAACAAGGACCAAAACTTTCCCTTCCCCTCCGACGGCCTAGCTCCTCACCACTGCATCACTAACGAGCAGAGACAGCAGGCAGAGTCAGAGCAGCAGAAAATTTGCCTGAACAGAGCTTCATCTGTCACAGTCCTGACATAAAGCAGAGGGACCACCAGCCCTGGGTTGGACCCTCCAGCCTTGGGCCACGGCACTGTCACTGTGCCACACTGGGGCATCTGGGCACAGAACTGCTCCACTGAACAAACGGCCCCAAAAGTTTAGCAAATGAAGCATTCTCTGGGAACAGAACCTGAAAAAAAAAAAAAAAAAGATTTGAAATGTATAAATATGCGTCTTTGAACTTGACCTTGTTCATCCCCTGGTCATCGTCGTGACCTCCAGCGTGATCTGTTGCAGCCAAGTGATCAAACCCACCATGTAGACTCTAATGCTTTGCTGACCTGAGGCTGAACGTATGCACCGTCAGGAAATGTTCAGAAGACTCTACGATTCCATTATTATGTCAATGAAAACAAACGGCGTTGGTCAAAGTTTACTGTTACTGCCTCACGTCTTCTTTGGCAAACGGCGTTAACCTGCTCTTTCACCTAGAATTTAGGATTTTTTGTTTTTTTTTCATTTTTCTGTGCAGCGGCTTGTCAGACTTCAGACTATTCCAGGTTATTAGAAGGCTGCTTTTCCAGTGTTGTTTCTGCTCTCTGTGTTTCTAAAGAACAGGGTGTGATGCACAGAGGAAACCATCACTATTAACTTTTCAGTTGAAGTGGTTGATTTTAGCAGAGGTTTTCCGACACCCGATCTGTAATATACAGCAAAAAATCTGTAAGTCTGGGTGGTGCATTGGTGGGCTCCCCAGTTGAACTTCACATAATTCCAGGGTCAATCTTACCTTATCCCAGATCCCAGGGTTAGTGCTGAATCAGTATCTGGACATTGCTGTGGAGATCACTGCTAAAGGAAGTGATTCCTTAAACAAGATGCAAATGTATTTATCTGTACAAACCACTGTATTGTTGCTGTGTTGACCCTTTATCGGTGTCTTATTTTCTCTCAGTGTAGTAACATTGTTGTAACTTCTCCAGGATCCAAACTGCTTCCTGGGCCCAACCATGGAACCCGATGCATTGCTGCGAAGTGCAGTTCCTCCTCTGCCCAGCAAAGAGCCGGGCAGGCTGGTGGCTGGTCGGATTCTGGCCCCTCTTCACTTCCCGTCCGAGCTTCTGCCCTTTGATGAGGCTCTGAGGGACATATGCACCATCAGACCCCTGATGGACGGTGACGTGGTGGCCAGACACGGAGGCCAACTGCTGGAGATCAAAGCTGCTGAGAGAAGAGGTTAAAACTGCAGCTGCTGCTAATGTCGTTGACACAAAGAATGTTTGTGTTCCAATCAAACCACACATTGTCTCCGTCTTATCTTTATGTTGGCAGAGCTGGAGAAACAGATGAAGATAGAGAATCTGTTTGTGACGTGGCAGCAGAGGTCAGCCCAGTCCAACATGCCCATCTCTGTAAGTCGAAAACAGTACATTTGTTTTGTACTACATCCTAAAATAAAATAAAAAATCAGTTCAGAGAATAAGCCGACAGTATCTATCTTTACTGGTCTAAAAATGTTGGCTTCTTGTCTCCATCTGATCTAAATCTGGAGAAACTTCTCCACCCTGTCTGTAGTCTATATAAATAGTTCTACTGCAATGTCCTCAATATTGTCCAAAAGTCTAAATACTTGACCTAAATATTCTGGAACATGTTTGGCTTTTTACACTTAAAAAAAAAAATATTTTCATCCCTTGCGTCTTTTTCAGGCTCCTTTATATGTAAACATCATCATTCATTACTTTTATACAGTACTGTCTGTGAATATGTCCTGCAAACCTGTGACTAATATATAGAAATATATACAATAATATAATATATTTTTATGCATTTATATATATGTGTGTGTATATATAGTTATATGTGTGTGCGTAGTAATTTGCACATTGTGTAAATGTGAAATTCAGTTCATTTTTTAATAGGCCTTTCGAAATACTCTGTGGAATTCACTAATTTACAGTCAATTAGAATATTGCAAAATATTGTCAAAAAACTTTGCAGATTAAATATGCCAAATATTGCGACAGTATTTACCAGTATATTGCACAATAAATCAGAATGTTGCACACATTGACTAAAAGCATGGCACAGAATAAAAGGGACAATTGCACAAACGTTTGTATAAAAAATATTTATACAGTAAATTAGAATTAAAAAAAAAATATGAACCAGAATATTGCACACTACATTGACGACGTCCTTAATACCAGACCACAAGCAAGAAGTTGAAAACATGACAAAACAAAAAAGCAATGTAGTCTTTTTGTTTCTCTGTGGACTTCATTTTAAACCCTCTGTAACCAGCAGAGTCATCTCCTCGGGTTTTCTTCTATTTCTGGTTCACACCTTTGCCTTACTTTTGGAACAGGATGTCTATTTTAACACAGTGTATGGGAGAGATGTAGAACTCTGTTCTGGAGGAGTAGCTGTGACGAACGGTGGGCCTCATTAACCCATACTTTAACTCCAGTATTCTCACTTCTCATACAGTAAATTCATGCCCAAACTCACAAGTTTGTTCTCAGCTTCCTGTATAATTATTTTTATGAATCAGAATCACTTTTGTGTGACGGGTTTGTATCTGCGATCTGAGTACTGTCGCACAGTCACACCTTTACATCAGGATCTCAGTTTGGAGGAGTGGAGAGAGAGAGAGAGAGAGAGAGATAGAGAGAGAGAGATGGAGAGAAGGAGCGATGTGCTGAATAGACAAGTGGAAGGAAGTTTCAGTTAAAAGTTCCAAAAAGTTGAAAGAGATATCAAGAAATTTCACAAACAGCAGAAATCAGAACAGGGAGACTTTTCTGTAGCCTGTCCTCCAGACTCAGGATGTGAGGAGGTGGAATGAAAACCCTGCACTGAAATAGCTTTAACAGAGGAGGTTAAAAACACACACAAACACACACGTTTGAATGGGATAGAATAGGTAGGACAGGCTGCAGGGTGAGGCTCTGCAGTGTTTATCAGACAGTGATCATGATTGCAGTGTGTGGAAACCAGTGAAGAGTCAAACAGTTCCTCAGCTTCAGCTCCTGCCACATCCAGACCTACAGATTAGAGCGGCCCCGTGGCTTTGTTCTCCATCCATCCATCCATCCATCAGTTTTCATCCGCTTACCAGGTCGCGGGGGCAGCAGTCTCCACCCAAATCACATTGCCGTACCCTACCAACCCCCCAAACCTTCCTGCAGGTGGTGAGTCCACTGGAAGGTACGGTGGAACCTGCCGTCCCCATACACTGCTCCCCAGGTGCTCAAAGCTGCCCACTGGTCACTTTGTGTGCAGTGGCGTGTCTCACAATGTCACAATGAAAAGGAGTTCACTTTCCTTTCTTTCCTTAATATGTTGCGGTTAGCACGCCTGCTTTGAAGTCAAAGGGTCCTGGGTTCAGTTCCTAGAGGAGCCACATATCCCTGAAGGCATTGGTTGATATCAGACTTGGAAGCTAAGGGTTTGGACAATATGGGATATTGGCAAAAAGTTAATATCGGGAATTCCTAATTATTATCATATGTCCCATGTTAATGAACTGTGATGTCACTAATCCTCTTTGGATGTCATAAAAAAGAGTACATAAAGCACAACAGAAAATGATCCATATGAATCTACACAGTTGATGACAAAACTTACTCTGTCTGACCTTCACTGTGATTTAACGTCCAAGTTGAAGTTTATATGTGGAAATTGGACGCATTAAAAATCACAATTTGAAGCGTTTACCATCCAACAGGATCCGACAGCGATGTCAAGATTGAGAACCAGGTCTTTTGTCATGAAAGTAGTTAAATATCAAATATAACTAATGGTACCTGACAAGTGCATGGGGTATTGAGCCTCCCACCACTCGGTGGTTCTGAAGAGCCTGGATTATGTTTCACTCCTCGGGGGAAATCATTTAGTTTTTGCAGTGTTTCACAGTGGGGGGATTTCTGAGCTAATTAAAAAGATTTCTGTCTGCCACAGTGACACCTCAAGAGGGGTTACAGGCTGACATTAAATTTACAAATTTGATATTTTCAACAGACACCCACGCAGCAGTGTAACTTCAGGTCATTCAGCGGGAGTGTTAAAAATGTCTGACCCAGGTGCGACAGTCATCACAGCAGAGTTTTAATGGCAGTGAGGGCAGATGTGGTGAAATATCTGAGGCAGAGTTAGGACTGTGTTCAGAGCATCAGATCCAAACATGGTCTCAGCAACAAGACAGCTTCACGTGACTATTGTAATGTCTCTGTTTGTCCACAGGGGACAGATCTGGAGACCCTGAAGCAGTCGTCCCGGCTGGTCCACTACTGTGCCACCCCTCTTCTCTTTGACCCTCTCTTTCGCAAGAAGATCCAAGAAGAACAGGTGGCTCAGCCCCCAGTAAAGGTATCTGTTCTGCAACTCGGTGGGAATGAAGAGCACATTTATTCTCCTAGACTGGGATTATATTAGATTTGAGATTATATGATGGGATTATAAATGCAGCTGCTATAATCTCATCTCATTTATTGTATTCTTAGAACGTTGGTCAGTTTCAGTATTTAGCAGGTCGTAGGTTCTAGGACAGCCTGGTAAAACCACACCTGACTGAACAAGCTGTTAGTTGCCAGTGTTGTTGTACTCATGTTGCTTTGCATTTGAAATTATAATCTCACTTCCTGGGGAAAGCATTAAAAAGTGGTCGTTTCCGCTCCACTCTGTTCCAGAAACGTCATCGCTCCAGCGACTCCACAGCATCAGGTCGGGACAGAAGCTACAGCACAGACTCGGCCGACATGTTGCCCAGTCGACTGAAGGAGGAACCCTGGCTGCTGGAGATCTGCAGTACCTTCCTGCAGCAGTACGTCCAGTACCTGCAGAGTATGGGCTTCATTTTAGTGCAGGTCCGGCCTCAGTCTCCAGCTCGAAGGTTTGTGTCTTTACTGTGTGGTATTTCTTTCTGTTCCACACCTTCCACCTCACATTTGAACTCAACTCTCCACTCTTCACTTTACTTTCATCACCTACAGCATTGCCCGAGCCCGGGCTGCCATGCTGAACTCCATGTCCTCTGAAGGAAGGATGTCTTTTTCTTACGTGAAGCAGAAGAGTGAGGACAGCCCCAAGGTTTGTCGTCAGCTCAGAGAGGCAGAGTTCGTCTGTCTGTCTGCTCCGTTGTACTCTCATAACAAACTGGATAAAATTCAAACATTTTCCTACTCTTTACACAAAGGCATTAACACAGTCTTTTTTATTGATTTTTTTTTTTTCATCCCACCTTAATAAACCAACACATAAACAATCAGTTCCAGGAGGTCAGATCAGTTATTAGTTTGGAGTGTCCTGCTTTTTACATTCACATTTACCATCACTTATATCAAATGTTTATTTATTTCATTTCATTTATTTAAATAAACTTTTGGAGTTGGTAACATTTGCACTTTAAACCAACCATTAAAAATTAATTGATTCACATTATTTGAGAAACCCTTTTTAAATTGGAACCCTAAATAATGGATATTTTCATTTTTAATTTAAAAAAAACCCTTGAATACAACCTGTTACTCCCACACAACACCTCATTTTATTAAATTATCTTTATCAGATGTGTCTGCAGATAAAAATCCAACTCAGTAAATGTGGGAAATCAGTTAAAGCATCATGAATCTTAATTTATATTACCACTCAAAATATAATTTTATGGAAAACAATAGTTTTTGTGGGTCAACAGTTACACGGGGTGAGAATTAAAGTCTCAGTGCGTTAAAAAAAAACCAGTACGTTAGACTTTATGACGTTTAATGAAGATTAGACTTCCAACAGAAACACTGTTTGTGTGTTTTTGACTATAAAGAAATCCAGAGATTAATTTACTATTTTTTCACTGAAACTTCTTTTGGTTTGTGTTTCAGCAGCAGCCTTTTCAGAGCTGAGGTGATGAAATTTTCACCTACTTAAAGATTAAACATAGAGGAAAAAAATTTTTTTTACAGAATTGTTTTGTCCTGTTTTGTTTTTTTTTTTGTAAAATCAACTCCAGTGTTTAACTTTTAGTGTTCTCAAATTGAATCTGCCATGTGATCAGGATTAGTCGCTCAAGATCCAGTCAGCTCAAGTCGGCTTTGTTTTCTGCAGCCTCTTGAGAGTCGATGGTCAAAACACATTTAAAACTTAGTCTGTAAATCCACTTTGCAGGCTGCAGCACCAGGCACCACTGCGTACCACCTACAGAGGGCGCTGCCAGGAGGGATCGTGCTGATGGAACTGGCTTTCCAGGTGAGATGAGTGTTGTGATCTTTGGACTGAAATGAAAGGCAAATACACTAAAAAGAAAAAAGTTGGTTTGAACTCGTTTTACCTTCTAATTTACCTAAAGTCTCCCGAAGAATGAATTATGATATGAGTGATTTTTAGGAATTAATTAATTTAAACTCTGTTGTTGAAGCTAAGAATTGAACCAGTCATAAGCGACTTTCACTATTTGAAGCCTGTGATTGGTGGAGATGTCATCCATCCATCTTTGTCCGCTTATCCGTTACCGGGTCGTGGGGGCAGCAGTTTCTATGACCGCCACCCAAATCACATTGCACCGAACCAACCCCCTTCCTGCGGGTGGTGAGTCCACTGGAAGGTACCAACCGCCCTAATTGTGAGACATTGCCTCTGGGCCAAAGTGCCATTGGTGGACATACTGGAGGCAGAAATGAATTTTTTGATAAACTACTTTTAAATTGTTAAAAAGAGGCGGCGCTAACTGAACTCTCCACCAGGAATTTTAATATGTCACTTGCAGAGGATCTGTACAATCCCCTTCCCCTCCAAAAAAGTCTTTTTAACCTCTGGTATTGTAGTAAATGTTAAATGTGTTGGTCTGGTCTTCTAGTGACCCTAATATTGAAACATCAACGGCACTGAAACGGTTTCTCCTTCTGGATTAAACGGTGAACCCGTCTCCTGAGCCGCCCTGACAGCAGAACCATCATCTCCTGAACCTGCAGCAGCGCGGGTCAAGACTCTGTGACTTTTACCTCACAGCCTGTGACAGTTACAATCGCTCCTGCTCCATTTCATGTTCCTCAGCTTCCTGGTTATTAGACAGACTCTGTGCTGACATGCCATAGTTTCTCAGCTCACACAGGTTGAATGATGACAGCTAACTTTTTCAGGCCAGAAGCAGGTTTCTGCAGGGGAAAATAAAGCTGCATTTCTGAGCAGATGTCAGAAGAGCATGTTAGCTTTTCCTCTGTGTCACCTCCTCTAAGAGGTGACCTTGTTTCTTTGGCTAAATTACTTCAAAATATCCTCTAAGAGCTGAGTAATTGCGTAAAAATATCACACTGTTTCTCCAAAAACCTTCAGCTGCTCTGATGAAAGGACATTTTACTCTTTTCATTCCAATGTTAATTCATTTTCCACATCTCTTTTCTTTTTGCCAGGGCTGTTACTTCTGTGTGAAGCAGTACGCTCTGGAGTGTTCCCGCATTCCCATGGGCCAAACAGTCAACTCCCAGGTAAGTGTGTGGTGCAGCCGCTAGGATTCAAACCGCTAAGCTTTCTCACTTTCCTGTGGGATTTAAGTGCAGAAGATATAAGATGAGATGTTGTTATAGACAAACTTCTTAACACGGCAGAGAATTCACTGAGAAAATCACAGCTCCACGACGTTCCCCGGAGAAAAGTCTCTCTCACTGGGGGAGTGAGGGGGCAGGTGGTGGTACGGGGGTGTTATTTGTATTGCAGTCTTCAGTGATCAGTGGTAGAGATACTGCAGAAATGTACTTTATATTGTAAGGCTAGACTATTTCACCATCTGGCTGTGTGTCGCTGTCTCTGCTGTGGTTGGATTCAAAAAGGTTTTTTTTAAAAAAATTGCAAATAGTTTTCTCCCAAATACTCCCTTCTCACTTCTGTGTGCAAAATGTAATGGCACAAAGATATCCATATACATATAAATACATTGACAAAGTGTTGCTCTGTAGCCAATATAATATATTTTCAAAAACAAAAATACATCCATAAAATACTTCTCTAGTCAAACCTAGTATAGTATAGGAAGGCCAAGTGTCTTCACGTAACTGTGTAAATAACTCCTGTGTTTCCTGGCTATATCTGAGCGTCAGGTTTTTATTGATAGTAAAGGAGATTGACGTCAACAAATCCCATGATCCTTTGTCCACCTCCCAAAACAGCAGGAGTCTTTCTTCTCCTCTTTCTCCTCAGCTAAAACCCCTAACCTTGTTTATTACCTGCTGCCGTTTTTCTTGGTAAAAGCTCAGGGAAAAATGACTGAAACCACAGCAGTGTCTAACAAACAGCTGGTGTTGTGGAGGAACATGGGCAAACAAGCAGCAATCAATGGTCCACATTAAAACCTCACGCAGAGACACTGTTTAATGCAGTGAAATCTCCTGAGCAGAGACCAGCTTCTGGTTTCCACTCACTTCAGAGGACAGTTCCAGTGTGAGTCTGTCTTCATGGCACAGTTTCAGAACGTTTCTGCTGAACACTGACGAGGTCGAGCTGCTGCTCAGGCATGCACAGCGTGAGAGTTTACACAGTGACAAGCAGGAAACAGCTGAAGAGACTTTGTAGTCAGGAAAACTGCCGTCACATCAAGAAACACCCGCTCTGTAGGCTGGGCTTCGGAGCAGTTGAAGCTAAACCCACTGTACCAGAAACACTCTTTGTTTTAAATATTGTGCTGCTAAAGGAATACACTGGAACACTAATGCAGGGTGATAAAGGATCAGCAGCTGGAGTCGAGCAAAATTTGGAGGAACGTAATCGCATTCGTTAACTGTGAAATTCTTTTTTCTTTTTTTTTATACATTCTAACAGTTGGACAGACTAACATATACTGCACAGTAGTTAGGGATGGCTTGGTACAACTTTTTTATGTCCAACATGAGCATTTGGGCTCAGGTATTGGATCGAACGGGCTTCAGTTGGGTTTTTAAAAGTTTTTTACCAATATCCGACTGATACTGATCCTGAATATCGGATTGAGACATCTTTAGGACAGTATATCTACTGTGAATCCACTTATTGTTGCCACACAGTCAATATATGTCATTTATACAGACTGCGGGTAAACAAATCTTCAGCTATTTTTTTATTATGGTTTGACAGTCTACAACATATATTATTTTAAAAAATGCAGCATTATTTCCATAAAAAACCTAGTTAGAATCAGATGCTTGAACGACCAACTCAGATAGAAACTGCTCCGTCTTCATAATCAGGCCTCCTTCTTAAGAGCTTTCCCAGAATTAAGTAACAGCTTTTACTGTGCTAAAAAGTCCAGCGGCGGTCTTCGTGGGCTGTGCCCTCCTCGTGACCGCACTCCTTATTTACCTTCACACGAGGCTTCACACAGTTTCTCCGTCCCCTTTTACTACATTAGTCCTACTTCTGCTTCAGCCTGTGGCTACGGACTATAACAGACCAACAACATAAACTGGAGAGGCCCATTAAAGTGGAACAGATGGTGGAGCTGGAGGGCAGGACTACTGAGGAAGTGAGTGCCTTCTTGGCCACATTAAATGTCAGTCCGACGTTGGTCAGTAGTACATCATCTTCACTCTGGTCAAGAAGGGAGAGAAGAGAAAAAGACGTCGTACTGTAGGCTCGTAAAAACTTTGTGCTGTAGTATATTGTACTGTAGTTTAGGCAGTGTTTAACTCAGGCAAGCTAAGTCAGCATAAAATAAGTATATTTGAAGAAATATTTCAGCCAATGATTCTGCCATAAATGCCAAATAGTCTTTTTGTGCGTTAAACATTTTTCAAGGTTGTCAGTCGGTCGATGTCTCTGCGGGTGAATTCAATGGCTCCATTACAGTACGAATATGATTGTTTTTAAAGCAAAGTAACACAGCGTCCTACCTGACGTCCTTTAATATCGCCTGATTGGTTGATGCTCCAACCGAGGTCTGATCCGTCTGTTTCAATACTGGATGTAGAGTTGAAACCTTTGTTGGCGCCAGTCTTTAAAGGAGAACTTTTTTTTTTTTTTCTCTACCGTCTGTCTGCTCTCGTTGTCACTTCTCCATCTCTGTCAGTCTCCAGTCAAACAGTGTCCTGTGGTGTGAAGGATACAAATGTCTCTGTTAAATGCAGTGCTGCTGTGTCTGCAGAGAGAGATCATGATGACTGTCACTTGATGAATTAATGTTTAAAAAAAAATCAAATGAGTTCAAACTTTGCATTTGTGACTTCACTTGAAGTGTTTTCAAACCTTGCATTGATAAGCTGTCTGTGACATAGAGAAGACACTGTGACAGTTTTTAGATACAGTGGTATGTCTGGTTGCTTTACCATCTTTTTTCCTCTAAATAGGATCAAACCTTGCTGAGTCATGTTGTACTGAAATAACCCTGGAATTAGAAGCTGTGACCCAGAACTCTTTAGTCTTTGTCCACTTCCTGTGTGCAGTTTAAGGCCTGTACATGGGCAGACCATGGCTGTGGATTAGTGGTTAATTGATCAGGTTTGTAATCTGAGGGATGCTGGTTAGAATCCTGACCCCAGCAGGACTTTGGTGTCCTGAATTAGCAATCATGTTCAACGAAGGTTTAAATGCCAGTAAATCAATTTCCTTTATTGAACTGAAAGAGTAACCTAAAATATTTATTTATTAAATGAAGATGTTTTTTTTAAATTGATTTATCCCTGTTTATTAAAGCTGAAGCAGGGAATAACAATCCATTTTTTGTTTGTTTTCGACAGGAGCCTCATGACGTAAATGTCAGATGTGTTTTCATAATATAAAGGTTCTGTGTGAGCACAAAGATTCCTGGTTCCTGCTGTAGAATCGTTCACAGCTACGTTGCCATGCTTGAGTTGGTGCAGCTCACTGTGCTGTTTATGTCAGCTGAGGTCTAAAAGTTTCCTTTTGCACAACCACGTCATTAGTCACTTGACATATGAAGTGAGTTATTACAGCAGGATTTTTTAGTTTCACTGCAGAAATACCATAACATTTCAACGCCGGCGACAGGAAGCTGTCGCTGCTAATGACGTGACTGTTACTGTCCGGAACCTGGACGTGAGTGTGGACACTGTGTTTGTCTCATTTGTCCACATGAACAGGAACGTCACGGTGTCATGTACCATAATCAGATCAGCCCACTTAGGTGGAAGCTGCAGGCTCATTATTCTGGACTGTCCACGTCCAGTGGCCCAGTGTTAACAGCTCCATTGGACTTCTTGGTTGGTACTCAGGAAACTGTAGTTTTAAAGCTGTGGACACCCGGACCTGCCTGACACACAGCCTCTTCTCCAGCCACACTGGAAAACACAGTGTTTACTGTACTCCACGTATTACAGGTTGTACTTTTGTATTGCATATAATGGAGGATATCTGGTTGTTTTTATGGACCAGGTCTTACAGGAAGCTGCAAAGATTGTCCCTACGGTTGTCAGTTCAACTGCATTTCTATAAACCAAATATACTAAATTAATTTTGCCGTCCAACTGAAAATTAAAAAAAAAAAAAGAACGCATAAATAGTAAAAATGTACAATTGGAATTTTTGGATATTTTATTGGTATTTATGTTTTGATGAAAGAATAATTGAACCCCTTTTGCAGGCCACTTAAAAAGACTTGGTGGGCCAGATGTGGTCTGTAGGCCCCGAGTTTGACATAGAGAGCGAATAAGTTTAGGATATACTCCCATGATAATGTAATCTCCTTTTCCACACCTCTGGGAGTTACATTTATTTTTTGTTTTTGATCCTCAGTAACAGAGTAATTAGCAGTAACTTTACATTCTGCACTACTGCCATCTGCTGTATATTAATTTTATAACTTGTCCAGAAACATCTTGACTACTAGAGATATTAAAACAGAGAAAACACAGGCAGAGGGCAGATCTGCAGATGAAAACAGGAAACTTCTAGTGACTGTGGAAAATGTTTTGTGTTTTTTTTTTTCTGTGGTTTTTCACCACATTTTTTGATGAATGCTGCAGAGAACAACGACAGTCTACACGTGTGTCACATGGCCAGTGAAGGTCCAGACCAAAACCATGTTGTTGTTGTTGTCCACTCATCTGTGTCTGTGTGTCTGCCTCGTCCCACCTTTCTGTCATCTCTCCATCAGGGCAACCTCCTCACCAAACCTCGTTGCAAGCCGTTTCCAGACGCCACACCAGTATCTGACTGTGCGGTATGTCCCAGCCGTTTTCAGACGGGGGTGGGAAATGTCTTGTCTTGTGGCAATCCGCCTTCGGCCACCACCCCCCGAACCTGCCTCTCTGCTTTCTGTCGACAGTCTCAATCTCTTCCTGTTCAAATCTACATGCCTTCCTTTCTTTGTGTCTCTATGGGAATCGAACGGTTTCCATGTCTGTTAAGGGTCTGCTTTCTTCCTGTTGGCTCCACGGCTGCCACATCCTACAGCTTGTGTATGAAGAATGACGTTTTAAGGAGTCTCACGAATGGTCAAGTATTGGGAGTAAATGTTAATTCTGAAGATCTGAGCCTTGATTCAAACTCCCCTGTGATTTCCTGTCTCTTCCTGGCTTTCCAAGGGCTGTCCGTCTCCGTGCCTGCTGGTCCTGGTGTTACGGGGCTTCTCAGCTTGTCATTCTTTTAGTGTCTGTGCAACCAACTTTGGCTCCTCCGCTTTTTTTTTCCCTTCTGATCGGCCTGCAGTGGTTTCACTGGGTTCTGTTGCAGCAGTGCAATGGTTGACTGGTTTTCTGCAAACCCCTGGGTTTTTCCACTGCTGCTTGGTTCCATTTTTTGCTGAATTGTTCAAGGTTATATAGGGTTGGTGACTTAAATTGTAGCAAGTTAAAATATGTGATTGCTAAGCTTGAATGTTTAGTGCCGTGACTTTCATTTTTTGACATCAGTATTTATTGATAAAATAATCCAAATGTCCTTTTAACTGAAGATAAGAGAAAAATGCATTCGGTTCAAAACCCAAGTTGCTAAAACTAGGTGCTAAATGAGGACATGTAAAGAGAAGTGTTACCAGAGCTAATTCACATTCCCTGTCAGAAACTGTAGGAAATCCAGAAGGTCCACAGAGGCAACAATAAGTGTAGTTTGAAAAAATAAAAACATTTTTATTATTTAAAAATACGCTGTTAGAGCCATTGTTCCAAGCTAAAAAAACCAACAAAAAAATTACTCATTGTTATATAAAGTATCTGTAAAAAATAAATGGGGAGCTTTTGGAAAAAAAAACTAAAATTGTAGACCACACAAATATTCCAACATGTCACTTAATCAACACACATTAATATAATAAAACTCAGCAGTCACCTGCTGGGTCTAAAAGTCAGCTTTTCCTTGTCTGAAATTCATCAAAACCCAAAACAGTCACATTGTTCACTGTATCATAACTGTAGAGATATTAATGCCTCCGTGCCTGCATACTGCTTGTACCGTCAGTGTACCAGTGGCATGGAAAAGGGCATTGTCTCGGTACATTTTTTTTTTGTCAGCAAGACTTGGTGTTAGCATGCTTACATGACTATGCTAGCTCTCTCCACATGCCAAGAAAAGTTTTGGGGTGTCAGGATACAACAGTCCCACTTGAATTTTTTTTGAGAAATGTGACTGCATTAATGGCTATTTCAGCTCTGTCATTGTGACTCCTCTTGTCTTTTTTTTCTTTTTTTCGATCAACTTTCTTTGTCATCTCTTTGTTTCCTGGATGACCTCATGATTACAGCTCCTCTTATAAACGTGGCCACTGTCATTAATTTGTCGTCCACTGACAGGAGGAGAGCAGCGGAGCCGCAACTCAACCCAACAATTTATTCCTGTCAGCGTTATTACAGGCGTTTAATTTATGAGAAGATGAAAGGTTTGGGATTACAGGGTAGAGAATAATAAATGTTAGCAGGATAGTGGCGATGACATGCAGGAAATGTAGCAGTGCTAAGATAAAGACAACTGTGTAATCCCAGTGGCTTCCCTGCTCTCCATGTAACAGACTCAAAAGGTCACACTTAATTTGTCTTTTCAAGACTACAGGATCACCAGCGGGGGGCGCGGGTTGAGGTTGGGGGGGGTTAATGTCAATGTTTTCATAACTCACTGCCAAAAAATACCCCATTCTTTTGTCTGAGTGCGGAGGAGTGGAGGCAGGAGAGACAGACGTAAGAGACGGTGTCGCTCCACCTGTTTTTATCGGCTGCCGTCTTAAATGAAGCCCATTTGTACCAGTTCCAGGCAAACGCCTCAGATGAAAAGTCGACGCACGCTGCAGTGTTTCCCTCTCCCTCCAAACTCCTTTTTTGTGCTTTAATTAATGACACATTGTGGCCTTTCTGTGCAGCTATTTGCATTCGTAATCAATGCTTTTGTCATTCCCCTTTGATGTTGGATTTAATTAAATTAAAGCTGCTATTTATGGATGAGATTGATATCAAAGATGCTGACAAGACGCTCTCAGCGCGGAGCAACGGGGGGCGCTGAGCAGCAGGCCCTTAAGGTGCACAGTTCAAGGCACAACAAGGTGTGGCTTTCAAATGCAAATCAGGACTTTTATTGGATGGTTGCTCAGATTAACGCTCAGCAGAGACGTACCTGCCAAATTGGGATGGATCCAGAGAGAAGACCAGGCCTTGGTGTTTCAGTCACTGACGTCTCTCTGGACTCTGTCCATCCCTGTCTTTTAGCTCTCCATGCTCTTCACAGAGGAGTGTGACAAAGTGCGGGACCTGATGCACGTCCACTCCTTCAGCTACGACTTCCACCTGAGAGTGGTTCACCAGTACCTGGTGGGCTGCCACATGACGCTCCGACAGGGCTACCAGCTCACGGACTTCCTGGACGACTTTATCTCCTATCACCCGGACATTCCCAAGTTTGGTCGCAATCACGTAGTACAAGGTAATATTAGTAATATTTTGCAAATTTGGTAAAGTCTAGAAGTGTCGGGAAAACACGTGTGTCCGAGAACTTCCTGGAGTCTCCAGGAAATTGACATCTGGACTCAATTGTCCTCCAAACTGCCAACATTAGTGCAACATTTGTAGAAATATATGTGTGAAAAACAGTACACAGATTGTGGAACATCATGCAGTACATATTGATACTTGATATATATATGTAAATATATATGTAAAAATGTAAATATATTGTATATTAAGTATTACTTTACTAAGTTTTGATACTAAAACAGATTACTTCATCAGATGTTTAATTGATTTCAGGATCCGGACTGAAGTTGATTTGTGTAAAAATAAAGTAATGTAATGTAGTTATTACTAATATTTAATGAAAAATACATATTGAGGGTTTTTTTATGGTCAGTATAAAGAAATGCCAATATAATCACTATCATATCATACCTAAAACTCTGGTATCGCCTGTTACTTTAAGATATAGAAAGGACCACATATAAACAGCATTTGGAGACAGACTGTCCAATCGTTGACCTGATTGTTGTCCGTTTGCTGTCCTGTGTTTCTCAGGGAGCTTCTCCATCTCCACTGGCATGATAACAGCCCACCAGCTCTACAACTACATCACAGACCACGCCAGCACTTACGGCATGAAGCCGCTCCGCATGTCCAAGACTGCACTGCCCACCGACAACAAGAAGGGAACGCCCGACCTGCACGAGTACGCCCTGGTGGCTCTGTGGAACAGGTACGGACCGGATCGAACCCACCGCCGTACAGGAAGAGCTTCTTTATTTTACAACCTTCTGCTGTTTCTGCTTCAGTTCGGGCTCCTACAAAGATCTGGAGGGCTTGCATCACCACGATGACTTTGACGTGTCTCTGGTGGTGTGCCATAACGCAGCTCCATTTGAGGAGCAGTCGGACGGAGAGAGACATGTGCTGAGGTAAGGAAATGAGAAGGAACAGATTTTTTTTTTTAAAGAAGACTGAACAATGTAGAATGGTGAGTGCTAACACTAATTGGTGAGAGCAGAGCACATCACTGTGTGACAGAGACCACAGGCTGGGAGGAATCTAGATCTTCGGCGCTAACAAGGACAGACTGTGCCACACACCGCCTCTACGAAAGCTGTGGGCAGTCGTCGATGGCCTGAGGGATGAGTGTCACCGCATAATGTCCAGAAGATCTCCAAAGTTTTCTTCATTATCTGTCAGTGAACCTCATTTATGAAACAGGAATAGTGCCTGTGGTCATTGCCATTCAAAGATAGCTGCGTGTGGACCAACGTGATGCTGAGTTCAAGTCGAGTTTAAAGACCTACGCAAACATTTTTAGCTGCAGCACTAAATGACTGTAGGACCGTGTACTGTGGATAATGTTTGGACCTGATGTTGAATTGTTTGTTGATGATTGTTTCAAGGACCGGTCAGCTGGTACTGGCTGCTACCATGGACGGCTAGTGTCCTGCCAGAACCACTGCCTTAAGGCCAGAGTACAAACCACTCTCCACAGTGTGGCGCACTGAGTTCACAGATTTCAAATTTTACCCCTGGATTCTGAGCAGCCATTTTAATGTTGGTATTTCCCATCTTGTTGACTTTCCGTCGTCAAATCCGATTTACTTTCAACATCTTTCCTGAGTCTGGTGCTCATGGTCTCTGAGCTCAGGACAGGCATCTGAGTGATGTATTTTTTGGCCTTAATAGCATCAAATCTGGATGTGACTGAAGGAGAATCTTTGGAAGATTTCCATCTCTTTGTGCTCCTAAAATAAAACCATCAGGGTTTTGTTTTTCTCCTGCACAGAAAATGGAACCATTGTTAAACAGGCTGTAGAAAGAGGTGAAATAGCTACAAAGGAAATCATTTCAGTGCCCAGAAAAGAAATGTTGTTTATCGTCAGTACGATGTGGTGGTTTGGAACCAGTTTGATAAGGCGTTTGATAAGAAACCCAAAAAAAGACACTAGAACTGACGTCCTTCTTTCTCCTCAACTCTTATTTTTACAGGTTGCGCTTCTTTGTGATCATGACCAGTCAGAGAGAACTCTTCCCTCGACTCACGGCTGACATGCGTCGCTTCAGGAAGCTCCCACAGATCCACCGTGACCCGGGTGAACTGGGGGGCCGCCTTCCGCCAGAAAGAGCAGAAGGAGCGGGTTCACGTACGAACGAGCAGGGCATCTGGGAGGAAACGCCGTCTGAAGCTGCAGCCGCCTCGGCCCCAAGTGACGGGAACGAGTTCTACCCCCTGAGCAGAGGTGGATCAGAAGCCCAGGGTCTGCTCTACCCCTCGCCTCTGTTCCCCCTCCTCAACAACGAGGTGGCGTCGGCCCACAGACAGATCCAGGCCAGCGTGGAGCAGGCCATGGGTCACTGCCGCAGGGACAACCTGTGGAGGAGGCTGTTCCACGGAGAGCACCTGGCTCTGGACAAACTGAAGCTGACCAAGCTGTCCTTCAGCGAGCTGGAGGAGCTGCTGGCTGCTGTGCAGAGTCGCTCGGTGGGAGAGATCGACCCGCAGCTGGTAAGGATGTGTGGACCAACTTTGGGCTCAAGTACAGCGTCACACAATTGGGCAGCAGGTCTAGTTCAATTATCTGACCAGATAATCACAAAAACCAGAATTACAGCATCCAAGGAACGAAACACGTCCACATCTGTGTGCATTTCTTCTCACTCGGCTCGTTCCAGGTATTTAAAGATAAACGAGAAGCTTAAATTTGTCATTTCCTGATGCTACATAAACACAGACTTCATCAACTGAGGTGTACTTTCATCCCCAGAACCTGAAGAACTTCTCTGGGTGACACAGCAGCTGACAGATCTGACAGTTTTGTTTTGGCTTTAATTTCCCCTGCTGCGTGTCGACACCACCCTCTCCGTCTTCCTCCTCTTTTATCTGCACTCAATTTGAATTACTAACAGCCAATTTAACTGGCAAGAAGAAAAGGAGAAACTTGTTGGAGGGGGTTTTTGTTTTTTTTTTTCAGTAAAAATGTCTCCACCTTGGATCAGCAGAGCAGGTTGTCTTTAACCTCTGGGGGGTTTTAATCCTCTGGTTTAATCCTGATCAAACTGCATCAGTGTGTTTTTACAATGCGCTGCATGTTCCTCCACGACTGTTTGACATTTCCAGACTCAGCCGATGATGTGGAGTTTGTTGACGTGCAGTTCGAGGATTAAAATCGAATTGATGATTTTGTGCAGCTCCAAATTTAAATGTGCGTTATTGTCAGGGGTAAGAGAGGGAGGCAGGGATCTTTCAGTGTGATGGAGAGGAGGATGAAGAGAAATCAGGCATCTGAAATGATAAAAGCACTTACTGTCAGTGAAAAGGAGGGAAGAAAAAAAAACTGTGCTTTAAGAGAAAGAAATCTCTGACAGAACAGGAATCAGACGTCTGCAGTTCTCTGTCTGAAGAGTTCTGAGTGAAAGGAGAAAATGACAGAGGAGGAAAAGTGAAAGACAAAGAGGGAAGCAGGGGGAGAAAAGGGTGGGAGTCTTCACCCGTACAGTATATCCAAGAAGTTCCTCAAACCCTCTGCTGAAATTCCTGACTGTGATTTGAGGCTCACACAACAACCGCCGGTGGAGGTTTAATTCACCTTGCACGGCAACAGCAGCATCACTGGCTGGCAACGCAGCACCAGCTGTAACACAACTGTGCTCCGGATCATCGCAAAGGCAGAAGAAAATTAACTTTTTATTAAGAGGGGCTTTATTTGCCCCTGTGAAACACCTCTCAGGGGAAGTCTGGTTCATTTCCATGGCAATCATATCAAAAGTGTGTTTAAATTGTCTGGATCCAGAGGAAGAGGAGGAGGAAGGGCCAGGAGCAGTGGTTGTGTCAGTGGCAGTATCTGTGTTTTGATCTTGGTCTGTTCCTGCTTCACATTGTTTCATCTGAGATATTTTATTCCCTCAGTAAACATCTCCTTGTTCCCAGAATTTTCCCAACAACCACAGACCAAACACAGAGAGAATATAATTGACAATCTGGTTTTCAGGACTTAGTTTTGATAAACTGTATTAAAAGTCGCAGCTGAATTTCTAGTAGAAGTAGTCAGTAGTACTACAGTAGTACAGTAACTGATGAGTAGGGGTGTAAGAAAAATATTGATACTGAAATATTGAACATTTTTGTTTGTATTTTTTTAACAATACCATATCAATATTCTATATCACTGTATTGATTTGTTAACCATTAACCGACGGCTAGTTGATTGTTCAGGGACTGCATATATTTCCACTATTTGAGACAAATAATCTTGTGTTTTTTTATCCAAACATTTCTGCAAATACTTTTCTTCTCTAGTGATTCCAAATGTAGATCCCTCTGTTCCAATGTTAGTGACCTGATGTTCAGATGGAACAGCAGCAGAGTCTTTACTGTGATGACAGTTTGACTACAGTTACATTTTTTAAAGAAAAACTCAATATATCTTCCTGCCTATAGCATCAAAGAATATCGCAATATATTGTGTCGCTGCCCCGTGTCGTGATACGTATCGTAATCTTGCCAATACACACCCTCACTGATGAGTTTCATTGTGCTGCTGCTGCTGCAGGACTGTTTCCTTACCATGGGTCCAGCCTGGTACCAGAGTCTGATCAAGGCCCTGCTGCACCGCCTCCCGCTTCCCTCAGAGCTGCAGACACTTTGACGACAGCAGAACCCAGTACCTGGTGAGGAGGACAAACGTCCGTCTGACAAATGAAACTGCTGTTGGTTTCAGTGCAGTTAAAGGAAAAACTGTGTGTGATTGTGTTCCAGGCTGTTCTGAACCAGAAGTTCACCGACTGTTTCGTGTTGGTCTTCCTGGACACCCAAGCAGGAAAGACGGTCAGTTGGCATTTATACCATGACCAGACTGTATGTTGTTGCTCAAATGTTTGTTTATTTCATGTATTTTCTTCTTCTTGGATCAGAGTCTGAAGGTGGTGTTTCGGGAGCCGCTGCCCTTACAGCCCCAGGCTGGCAGCAGCCCCCCTCCCCAGCTGGTGTCCATGTACCACCACCTGGAGTCTGTCATCAACACGGCCTGCTACAACCTCTGGACTGGGCTGCTGTGACCACGGTCGGTGCTTCACGTTCCACGTGACCACACAGAAATGTGGAGACATGAAGACGAGAACATGTTTGGAGAACGCTTCTCAGGAGTCTCACACCTACGGCCGCTGCTGTTGCTGTGATGGAGCAGCAGCAGAACCGTATGCTGATGACACTCTACTTTACATTACAACATGAAGGGTTTTTACACTGAGTCAAAGACAAAAAAGAGCTTTAATTTAAGATGTTTTTAACTAAGCATTCATGTGAGTATTACTGCATCATACATCAGAAGTAGAACTTCCCCTCAAATTAGTGGACCTGGTCTACGAGGAAGCAGTGAATCTGTGTGCCGGTTCATGTTGGACCAACTCTGAAGAAGAACCTGGTCTGAAGCTTTTGCTTCTGCATTAGCCTTCATTTTACTCTAATTAGGAATTCAAGTATCTGAATTGACCAAATGTTCAAATGTTCAAGACCTGAACCAGCGACTGAGACCATGGACGTTTTTAGAGATTTACAGACCAAAGAAACTCACTGTGAAGTCCAACAACCGCTACAGACATTTTAGCACCAGACCAGAATTATCATGGGGACAAGGTCACGCCTGATTGGATGAGTACACAACATTCAGCTCTAGACTTCTGGTCTAGTCTGATCTAGATTTATTTTTCTAGCAATTTCCAACAACTAATTCTTCTGGGTTCCTGAGGCATTTCCAGGAAGTTTCTGGAACAGCACAAATTCAGTTTAGTGCCATCTAGTGTGTATGGTGGTCAAACAATACTACACAGTTCTACAGGTGAAGTGAACCAGGATTCCTTCACACCACTGTCACTCTCTCAGCTCCATCTTCTCAGAGTTGGTGCCGTCTGGTACTTCTGGATCCCTCAGTGTTAGTATAAGCCACGAGGTGTGTGTGACGGACAGACAGACGGACGGACAGACGGCCATGATTACAGCTCTCAGGCCTGCGACCCTCCGTCACCTCACTGCCACACCGTCTGTCCTGAAGTGCCTTCTGCCATTGTGTGTGTGATTCTTCTGTTCTTTAGAATTTTCAAAGCGTCTGAAGCGATACTGTTACCGTGCACCGAAACACACACACACACACACGTGCGCTGCAGTCAAAGTGCCTGAATCAGTTTGGATGAATGTGACAATTACAGCCTTTCACAGACGAGAAAATGGGTCATATTAACTCTGTTGATTTGCATAATAACATGCCACATGTCATCAGCTCTGTGTGTGTTTTTTTCTCCACGGCCTGATGAGTGTGACGGCGCGGCCACTGATCACACATCAGTTTACAGCAGGGCACACAGAGTCAGACCAGAAAGTACAAAAAAAAAAATCATAAAACATTTGATAAATTTCCTTCATTTAACTCTTTAATGTCTGCCTGTTCCACTGGAACCAACGGTGTAAATTATGAAGTCAAACTGACAGATACTGTGATATAAATACACTGTACACAGCTCTAATTGTATAGCGTGTATTATGAATGTACAGAATACTTTATACAGTATGTGAGAATATCAAATAAAACGGAAGGAAAAATATAACTGTGATGAATCATTTTAACAACTTTAAAAAGGTTGATATGGACGTCACTGTCCACATACTCATTTTAAGTGTGTTAAGTGTTCATGATTTTAGCTGAAATAATCATTTTGACTTGCAGTTACCTTGAGGCTAACTTTTACATTTTTTTTATCCCTGTTTTCATTTTCTCTAAATGTTTATTCATGTGATTCATTTTTTCCAGGAATGTAAAATTTTAATGCTTTTAAAATAACATGCCCTTCAATTTGGCAAATTTAGGGACTGTGTGTAAACGTACACAGCTGAGTGCATGTACATGGGTTTTTGTGCGACTGTGTGTAAACGTACACAGCTGAGTACATGGTTTTTTGTGTTGTTTAATATTCTGATTCTGGCTCAGTCAGCTCGTTCCATCATCACTTGCTGCGTGCCCAGTAATCTGTGATCCATCCCAGACCTTCCTGTGTGGAACCTGGGGTGAAGAACATTGATGACAATTTCAAAAAACATTTTTTTGTTTATATATGTATATATTTCACAACCTTAAATGAAATTGAAAAACATCACCTTGACTCACCTAATGGCTTGTACTCACAGCCGACGTACCCCTGGTACTTGAGCTCCTCCAGGAGGTTGAACAGGTAGCTGTAGTTGATTTCTCCATCACTGTCTGGTTCGTTCCTGCCTGGAACCTGTGCGATCTGAACATGACCTGAGGAGAAGATGAATGAACGCCTCAGCGTTGAGTAAAAAAGGTTCTGTGAAAACGTCAATCTAACGCCACATTCTATCTCCGGTTATTGATGGTTCTCTGAATGCTGCGATGAGTCCACGTCTGTCTTTTTGTCAGTTGTCATCACTGACCATGGTACGGTCCACTCACCTATCAAAGGCAGATACTTCTGTATGTTCTGAGTCAGGTTTCCATCCATTATCTGCCAGTGGAAGACGTCCTGAGACAATTAAGATTGTTGGTCGTTTATGTGCTTCTTAAAAGTTGCTTTTTATTATTTTTCTTTTTTTTTTTTGAGCTCTTGTTTCCAGATCACTCACCATCTGCAGCCTGATGTTCGACTTTCCAACTTTCTCCAGAATATCAGCCGCTGCAGAAACAAGGATGGAGGACACACGATTACAGTCAGAAAATGTAAATACCATTGTACTTGTAGTTAATCACGATTAATAATGATTAATTGTATTTGTAGTTTATCACGATTAATCACTCAGTTGGCCAAAATCAAAACTGGCCATTTAAAGTTTCACCATCAGTGTCTTACCCTGATGAGGAGAGTCCAGAAAGTACCTGTGGTCAGTAATCCTGGTGTTGATGGGTTCAATCAGTCCAGTGATCCCTTCCTGTGAGGAACAGTGCTCAGAGTCAGGATAGAACTCAGCCATATCAGAACATTTCCCTCAGACGTGGACCTGTCACGTCTGTCATGCAGAATATTGCACAAATGTAGAAAAAGTATTTTTTTAATACTGTAAATGTCAGCTAAATATAGTAGAACTCTGCTGTTTCCAGCTGCTGAAAACACATTTTCACTCCATTCTGCTGATTCTGATTTTCACCTGCCTCTGACAGAACATCAGCGGCGTATCTCAGGTTCTGGACAAAGACTGCTTCCATCTCTTTGACAACGGCTGCTCTGTGAGAACCTGCAGGAACCCTGCCTGCCATCAGGTGGATCCTGGAGACACAGGGAAGAAGAGTGAGGATTCTCTGTAAGGAACTGTCAGGTAGGATGAAGGTTCGAACATTGACAGCAGAAGAATACACACTGATGACTCGTTGGAATAAGGTAGTAACGAAGTCACTGTTCACCTTCTGCAGTCCAGGGCTTTAGCGTACTTCACCGCTACAGCCAAACCCTGTTTAAAGTCTTCTTCTTTGCCAGGAACTGCAGCCAGACCCAGCTCACCAGCTTTTGTATTTCCTTAAAGAGCAGCAGCAACAGTTATCATTTATCCAGAGGGTCGTGGGTTTGATTCCTAGAATTCCAAGACGTTGGAAAATTTATCCTAAACAATTCCTCTGTGGCTTCCTCCTCCTGTTACTTTCATTCTCCTCCTTCTGCCACTTATTCTCCCGGTCCTACATATTGTTCTCCACATTACCTGGTGGACTGTTGATGAGCACCACCTCCACCCCCGCCTCCTCCCTGGCTTTCTGGAGCTCCTTCAGCTCACAGTCGTAGAGCCAGGCCGCCTCCACGGCCCGAAATCCGGCTGCAGCGGCAGCGCGAATCCGCTGGCTGAAGTCCGGAAGCTCCGTGAAGAGCCAGGAAAGGTTGGCACAAAACTTTAAGCGAGCCATGAACCTGTGCACAGAAACTAAATCCACCATGAGTTCAAATCTCACCTGTCAAAACATTGACGAAGACTGTAAACAAGGCAGAAACACAAGATTTGAGCTTCACAATAAAAGCCTGCGCGGTCACACAGCTGTATATAACAGTGGAATACTATAATATACAGAATATAAATCAACCAAGAGAAACAGCGTGAAGAGTAAAGGCGACTCAAAAGGTTATTTTGATCGTGTCTCTAGCCACAAAAAGAAGGAAAAGCGAAATGTTTTTATTTTGAAAAAATATACGGATGTAGTTTTGGTTTGAGACGTCAAAATTACAACGTTATTGTCACGTGATCGTCTACTTTTCCTGTCACAGTGCTAAAGTACAGATGTTGAAATTTGTACCTAATTTAAATCAGGTTAATATCGTATCACTCAAAAACTTATTTTAATTTTAATAATTAATACCTTACCATATTTTGCAGTGGTGTTTAATTTATTATTAAGGAATTTATATGCTTTAAATAATTTAAGGACCTTGTGTTGTGTTTGCCTGAGACTTCATAGTTTAATTGTGCAATAATACACAGCAATTAAAATAATAAAAAATGCTAGTATTTAACAACATATTAGTCATGTTTAATATTTCCAATATGATAATTATATAAATAACAACTGTGTGTTTGAATGACTGCTGCTCAGTCTGTGGTGTGTGAGATAAACAGGTTTAAAAATCTCTTGCTAAGACGTGTTAGCACAGATGCACAATTAAAAACACTAATTTATGTTAAAACACAGTCCACTCCCTGAGCAACTTTTCTGGCCTGTGGCCTGAAGTGAATGTACTTGACTCTGCAACAGTGACAGCAGCTAAGCCACGATTATCTGTAGTCGTCAGAGGGACGACCCTGTTAGCATTTGCACACATTACTCTTAGTCAGCGGGGCTGTTTGCTCAGAGATAATGAGGCCAGCACCACTCTGGACATCTGTGCTTAAACACAGCTCACCTGCAGCATCACACGGCTGTACGGATCTCTGACTGTGATGAAACTCTCTGCCGCAGGGCAAATAAAAGAAACGATGATGATGAGGGCTTTTAAAGGATGGAGAACACCGTGAACTCTGTGACATCACAGAATGTGGGCCAGATGGAAGCACTGGGGAAGACCTGATCAGCCGCCCTTTCACCCCGGGCAGCTTTTAAGAAGCCCAGTCTTTCAGCAGTTGAAATGGTGAACATTATAGGTAGAATAATAAACTATATCCAAATAATGACAAATGTTTTTAAATCTACGGCCTAAAAAAGTTTCCAGCTGAAGGCCGTGGCGGTCGTACGCCTCGTCACTCTTCTTATTTCTTGTGGAGTTTGTTGACACACAGTGTGAGAGCAGGTTAATAAGGGGGAGAAGAAAAAAAACGACATTTCAGCAGCGACCCTGAAGGCACCTGGAGGGAAATGTTGACGGTGAGATCTGAAGTCTGTGTGAAGTGTCAGACGTGTCACCTGCAGACGCTGTCACACCGCTGCTCCACCAGGAGTAAATGAGCTCACCTTCGTTACAATGATGATCTTCGCTCAGACGTTTGACATTAGACTCATTTCCACACATCACCCAAAGGTTGTGGGTGTGTGGGTGTGATCGTTAGACATGCAGCTGATTACTTATACCACAGTCGTGCTGATGGCTGTGTGAAGGACATAGTCTTGTCAGAGAAAGCTAAGGGTTCTACTACTTAGTACCAGGAACTTTTACAAGAATCAGGAAACCCTAGAGGTCTTACTGCAAATTCCGGTGCATTTGAAATTGAAGTACAAAGAATCAAAGTACTCTGAAAATAACAATCAAATCTTTCAGTAATTACATGTAACTTTGGTCGTATTTACTCTCCAACGATCCCTTCTGTTCTGGTTCATGTGAGAGCTGCAGCAGTCTTAGCCCCACCCCCAAATACTGGCAGAACTTGGTCAGTGGCTGAGTTGTGATGGTACGACTGCCCGGTCACTGAGGCTCCTGGCTGCCGTGCACAGCTGTAAATCGCACGTGTCACTAAGTTCTCCAAACAAAATTAGGTGAAGCTGTTTGAGTTTTTATGGTTTGGTTGAAGCTTCCAGCAGGGGGCCTCCTGGCTCCCACCCGCAGCTTAATATGACATACATCAAGAGAGTTAATTTGATTCTTTGGAATATATGATAACCCTGCAGGAACAGTAAACCCTGTCACAACAAGTCCTCCAGTAAATTGTTGTTGTTTCTCTGCAGCTTCCAGTATCACGTAAAACAGGCTCCATTTACTACACAGTACACAATATATACAGTATATCATAAACTATAGAAAGTCAAACTCCAACAAATCTGCTCCACATTTGGTCATAACTTTCGTCTGTGGGACAATTGCAACCAAATTCAATTCTGTTTTTTTGGAGCTAAATATATTTTTCGAGGCAGTTTAAAATATTCAGTTTAATTTCTCCGTCGGTAAACGTTCACCTTCCAGGAGTTAGACATTTTTCAGCCCATACTCATCACATTTATGCAAAAGGAGGGATATCAGCCGATAATATTGGCCGACCGATATTATCGGCTGAAATCATCATAATTAAGTATTATTTATAAGAATCGTTATCGTTTTTTTTTCCTCTGATAATGAAAACCCCATAATGCAATGCCCGGGTTTCCCCAAATGATGTGTGCCTAAAAATAGTTTTGGGGATAAACGGCTGTATATTAAAGTGAAACCCACTAGATGGCAGCATTGTAGCTCAATGTATTAATCTACTTTAATAATCAGTGGATTGTATGCAGATGCTGGTGCTAGCAACTCATACAGTGGTTTGTACAGATAAACAAACAAATATTACCAGGCCTATATCCATAACGGTTGAAATCAGACTCGGAAATTGTGTTAGGTGTGTTAGGAATAACGGTTGAAATCAGACTCGAAAATTGTGTTAGGTGTGTTAGGAAAATATCAGATACACAAATTTAAAATCGGACATCGCTTTAAGTCTTTGCTCAAACTTTTCTATGTAGATGTTGTTGCATTGTATATATATATATTTATATATATATTTATATATACAGTACATATATATATACATACACAGACTCACATGTCGGTCCAGCCTGTGGCTTTTCTCCTCATTATTCCTGGTGTATGAAGGGAATAATTCCATCTATCAATTTACAACATCTTCATAAACTTGTGTTGCTCCTCAGGGGAACCATACACAGGAAGACGGGCGGTTCAACGTCTGGTGGACTTCATCAAACGTCCACCAGACAGGAAACAGACGTCTGTCGTTGGGCAGACACGTGATTTTATTAAGATTTAGCTGATGGAACTTGGATGATTGAATTAACCCCATGCTTTACATCATCTTTGTTCACATTCACCCCAGTTGTGATGTCACTATCAGGTTCTCCTGTGATTAGACATCGTTTTCTTACAACACTATTTTGAAAACTAAAAACTGAAATTCTGATCTTTTTTACTTTTTGCTGAGAGAAGTTGTCAGATTCAGTGTGAGTCAGAGTTTAAAGACTTTTCTTCTATTTTTTGTGTGTGTGTGTGTTAAAAAGCAACACAGGCTCCTCTGACATCCATTAATGGCTGGAGCAAAGGTCTCGAAGAGGGCGGCACAAAACTGTTAAACCCTTTAGAGGAATTGGATCAGCTGCTTTTAGAGGACCAAAGTCTGGAGCAGACATTTGAGGACCGCTAAGAAAGAAGAGTTTGTCTGGGCTCACAGAAAAACCTTGACTGAGCTGTTTTTAGGTTGAGCCGAGATGAGATGAGACCCAAATTCTGGATCCCAGGATGTAGACCACTCAACTCCTTTAATCTATGGTGGTAAGTCCCAATGTTTATATTTCAATACCACTATAATGGACTGTCAAATTAACTGTGTTAATTGCCCTGACTGATAAAATAGATTTTTTCGGTGTTTGAGCTTCGAGCCTTCCTTCCTTGGCCTGTAGGTGGTGCTAATCACAAGTTGTTTGTGAACTGGGTCAAAAGGTTTTTTCAGAGACACGTTGGGTTTTTTACCTACTCTATTTGCTGTAGAAAAAAGACTATTAAAGAGTATGTTGTCAAGGTGTTAGCAGCTAGCATGGTAGAATCACCAGATCACTTTTACCACATTAGCAACATGTTAGCAGCGGGCTAGTATGGAGTGTATTAGCAGCATGTTAGCTGCGCCGTAGCATGTAGTATATTGATCAGGTCTCAGTGACCGACAAGAGCAGTGGTGAAAAGTGATCTTTATAACGACTATTCCATGCTAGCCATGCTAACACCTTGCTAACAAATCAGTCGACACCTTGCTAAGGTTCAAATAACAAAATAACCATCTTTAAAACAACAATGTTTGTTTCAAAGTAAGGGTATTCTGTGTACTATGGTTTGATTGAACCTGGAGTCTTGTTCCGTCGTGCATTCCTCGGGACGCTGCAGACACTGCATTGTCCCATTTTTCTGCGACACCGATCCTACAGAGACCTGAAAGACAAATCCAGTGTCAGCTCCTTCCTCAGGTGACGTAGACCAGCAGTAGGTCAACACCACCTGCCACAGTCTCCTGCCCAGTTCCCTGGCTTTTGTCTTTTTTTGTACACCCCGCCCACCCCCCATAGAGCTGCTGTTGTCCACCTGCCCGTCCCATGTCCCCTCCACAGGTTTTCTATTTGTAGTCGCCTCATTTCCTCTGCACTCACACACTTGTTGCTCCGTCTCCTTGTCACTATTTAAACCCACTCGTCTCCAGCTCCATTATCTGTGTATTAACCTCAGTTCCCGTCTCCTGTATTTGCATGGCCTGTTTTTTTTTTTTTTATATATATATATATCTATTCATTTTCTGCCTGCCTGGTCTTTTCCCCATCTGCCCTCACACTTGTGTTCATTTATTAATATCTGCTGCCTCAGCCTGACTTTATGTCTCCTCGGCATGTACTGTTAGCAGCAGCTGTAGCACGATCGCAGTTAGACGCTCTCTCCTGAAGAGGTCTCTTTTCAGCCACATTCCCCAAAAATCAGAAAAAGAGTTCAAATCTGTCATTTACTTTCTCAATAGACAGTGTGTAACACTCACTCACACGAAACACTGATTGGTCAAAGAAAACGAATTAAAAAAAAAAATGACCTGAGTTTAAACTGTCGATTTTTTCCTAATCTTTCATCTCATAATGTCCAGTCATTCGGTATTTTTATATTTAATATAAAATACTCACTATTTTAAATTAATTTTATGCTTTGAAATATGTATTTTATTTTGGATTATTATTGTAATATTACTTTTTTTACATTTAAAAGTGCTCGTTATTATTCAACTGTCTTTTTTTTAATCTGTCCTTTTGTTGCTGCAACACAACAATGTCCCTCAATCCAATCTAATCTAGTCCAGTCTAATCTAATCTAGTCTAATCTAGTCTAATTTGGTCTAGTCTAATCGAGTCTAACCTAGTCTAGTCTAGGCTAATCTAGTCTAATGACTGAAATCTGCTTGACCTCACCTGTTTAATCCACTTGTCTAATTCCGTGACTCTGTGATAATCAGCTGTAGGCTTCTGTCCAATCAGATTTCAGTAAGAGACACAGTTAACTCTTCTTCGATTACTAAAATCCAAGGCCAAACATGAGCAGGTTTCAATTTATTTCCAGATGTAGTTGAAACACTTTATAATAAAATGAACTAACTGGAAATCGTTATCCGAGGTCAAGTACAGACGAAGTATTTTATCCTCCAAATAACAGACTTTAAGCCACATCAGCTGAGTTCCAACCAAAAAGAAAACATCGACCAAATTCACAGCCAGCAAATAAAGATGATAAATGGTTACACGTGTGAATCAGTCGTTCATTTACCGCCTGTTTTTTCACATCAATGACTGCTTTGTTTCACTTTGTCACTTACATGTTGCATCATTTTCATGCACAGTACAGCCCCTCAGGCTCTGGATGTGATTTGTGAGTGAGTGTCAGAATGTGTGCAGAACGAAGGACAAACAGAGAAATAAGTGAAGATGATAATCTGGTTTTCCCGCTGCCTGTGGAGTTCTTCTTCTCCACAACGCCAGAGACAGATATCAGAACCATCACGTGGGGGTGGAGTGAAGCTATAAGTGAAATTCAAATCTGAAAACCAGTAATCCTGGAGGAGCTGGGCGGCAGAGATACTGGCACACACACATACACACACATACACACACAAACTTGTCTCTGCACTCTTGTGGGGACTCATGACATGGTGCATTTCCCAGAACCAAGTTTAACCGCGAGCTTCCAAACTGCCCCGAGGGTAACTGGGGCCCGGTGATGTCGTCAGTGTTTGACCAGTGAGAGCCAAGTCCAAATGCCACATGTTGACAGAGACAGTGTGTACTGTACAGAGCTGTGCGTGTAGCTTGGGTGTGTGTGGACGTAGATGTGGACCACCAAGGACAAACACAGTGGACAAGGACAGGAGTGCATTACAATAATCAATATGGGATGGGACGAAGACAAGAACAAGTGTGTCCCATAAAATCCTCCATTTACTAGAATGGAAATACAACAACTGCCAGGAGCCTATATAATCCAGGCATCTGATTGGCCGCTGATTGTCTCCAGTTAGTTTTCTCTAGTAACGAGTGAGTTTAGACTTGGATTCAGTCCAGAAACAATTTCAACATTTATGGCCATTTATGGCCATTTATACAAATATATTGTGTCATAAGTATGACAAACAACTCATGTTTTCTGTTTGATTTTTTAAATTGATCTCTAAGGTAAATGATTAACAGTATTAATATGAAGATTGTCAATACAATTATACAAAAATGTTGTTAAAAATCCAGCTTCATGGAGTTGGAAGAATTTAGGATGTTGGAATAATTACTTTTTTTTTACATTATATTTTATTATTATTTTATATATTTTATATTCTAAATATAGTTATATTTTATATAAATTCTATATTATTATTATATATGGTGCCTGTCATATATACTGAAGTTATATATATATGTTATAAATATATATGCATGTCTATATATACATACACATATAATATATTCACATTTATATGTGTATGAATTTATACATACACATATGTGTGTATAACTTTATATATAGCATATATAATATATATCGTGCACCATTTATAATAATATATAAATATAATATAATAAAATATTATAAAAAATTCATATAATATAAAATAATAATGTCATGTAAAAAAAAAATTCAACTCCTTGAAGCTGAATTTTTAACAACACTTCTGTATAACTGTATTGAGCTACAATATATACTGTATATGTAGTCAAACTTAATTGCCTGGAACCACAAAGATCGGTGACACCCTCCCACTCCCACTGTGTCATCAGCTCCAACAGAAACGCTGGAGAAACAAACCTGTCCTTCCACAGTGGAACGAGCTCCATATTGAGCCAACCTTCCTGCTTCAGTCCTGTCTAATCCGGTCTTCCCCAGGTTTAATAACTCCAGGGTCAGCAGTGTCCCTGTGCAGGACACACAATACACAGTATAATTCACTTCCCATCATGCATTTCTATTCAGAGCCAGCGTACACACCACGCTGGTTAAAATGGGAATTAGGCTTGATTTCCTGCTGCCGCTGACCCCACAGAGACCACCGTGACACTGCAGTGGTGGGAGGTAGGCGGCCCACTGCTAACAGCCACATGAGCCCCCCATGCTCCAGTGATTAGGTCTGAACAGACACTGACACTGGTCTGTCTGATAGTCAGAGAAATCACTGGCTGAACGCTAACCACAAGAGTCAGTTCTTTTATGGCTAATGATGTCATCAGTTGGGTAAAAAGAATATGATCTGATCTGAAAATGTAGAGGAGGTGGGGGGAGGGAGGGGGCGCAACTATATAGGACTGTCTTTGAAGGCTGGTGGTCAGTGGAGACGAAAGATAAGAAAAAGAATGTCATCATTTTAATGCTGTAATACAGAGGAGATCAGAGAAATCAATAACAGGGTGAGAGGCCCCCGCCCCCCGAGTTGTTTCTCTGTGATCTGCAGATGGGGTAAAAACATTAGTTTTGATTTTTGGGGCCAATTTTCCTAAAAGCCCCCTCAGAAATGATCATGTAGAGGTCATGACGGCAGCACAGGCTGGCTCAGAAGAGACAGCAATGCTGTACCACGTGGGCTGTACCACGTGGGCTGTACCACATGGGCTGTACCTCTTCCCTTTTAAATGCAGCCTGTGGCCTAGATGTAAAACAAAGGGGGCAGCAGTGGTCCCTGGGGACTCGTTCCACTCTCGAAGGGCTCCTGCTTTTACAACTTCCTCTTGTGTTTCCTGTTTTATTTTGAAGTTCCAGTTGTACTTCCTCTATCCTTCTCTCTCACTGATTGCTGCCTGATGTCTTTCACCTGTGTCCAATCAGTTTCACCTGCTGCCACTGCAGCCATGTGTTTCTTTTCCTCTTCCACTACTACAGTACTTGGAGTACTTGTACCTGGTACTTCATGTCATTAAGTCTGTGTACCTGCTCCATGGAAACGTTTCCTCTGTTTAGAGGTGAGTAACTTTTTATAGTTTAAATTGTTGAAAATGTTTAATAACTAAGAATGAAACCAAGTTACCAAAAACCTCCTGTCTTGAAGACGATGAAATAAAAAATATATGATGACAGTACTACTTTATAATATACTTTCACTGGGTTTTAAAAACAACTGAACAGTTTTGACTGATAACTGAGAGGAACTGAAAGAAATGGAACATTTTGTTTCTGTGTCAGTTCAGGGTGAGGGAATGAGAAGATTTACTTCCTCCCACTCCTCTCATAGTACATATGCAGTATATAATATGTCTTATATTTACATTTGGGACTGTTTGGACTGGTGTTTCTATAATCCATCTGTCTAACGGTTACGTCAGCGGTCACATGACTCCGTACAGTGAGACTTCATTCACATCTGAGCTGCGACTCGACGCTGCTTTAATGCCATCTGTCAGTGGAAGTACCTCTGGAAACCGTCTCCAAACTCTAATATTAGACTCTTTCTCTGCCTCTTTATTGGCTGTGTCCTGGGGGGGACGCCATCTGCTGGCTGCTTTAAAGGATCTGTGCAACAGGAATGGGTTTGAGGATGGAGGGTGTGTGTGTGTGTGTGTGGGGGGGGGGGGGGGGGGGGGGGGGCAGCAGAGGTCCGGGTGTTTTCTGTTTGACTAGGGTCCAATACTGTAGCTCTACAGCAGGCGTGCAGTTAAATGTAACGCCGCTCTGTGCAGTGTTCATGGATTTATGGGTGACATAAAGGGACATTTCTGAAATCTCAACTGAGTGTGAAATGAAAACTAGGAACAGCAGTTTCCTTTTCTTTTTCTTTTCTTCTTCTCCTGCACAAAGAAAAACTAAAGGCTTTATTCTTCCTCCCAGAGTGTGATATAAAAGTCGAATCTGGTTGCACTCACTTTTCCTGAACGTGTTCTGTGAAGATCCTCCTCTGCACTTCGTTCACTCTGTGACCAATTCAATCAAATCCAAAAAGACATAAAGCTCTTTTGTTGCTCTGACGAGTGACGGCTGAAAAAAGTGGCGGCGGCGCTGAATGGATTTAAACCACACTGAAGTGTGTGTGTGTGTGTGTCTGTAATTGTTGTAGGGATTGCTGTATTTCACACATGGCAGATTTCTGGACAGTTGTTGCTTAGTTGGTGAAAGTTAACATTCTTTTCAGCCAGTGTTACCCAAAATGGGGGGCAGCCCCCCTCAAGGGACATAAAGTTGTTTGTTGCAGAGTGGGGGGGGAACTACACTCGTTTGTTTTTGTATTTCCTGTCGTCGATGTCGTGAAGAAAAAATGGTTCGGCTGCATCATCTGGACCAGAGGTGTCAAACATACGGCTTGTGGACCTAAACCGGCCCTCTAGGTTATTTAATCTGGCCCGCTTATTGGATATCTAATCAGGTTCTATGTGGCCTTTAAATCAAAATGGGTTTGACTGCCCTGATCTAGACCAATATTTTGAAGTTGTCAGTAAAGAAGTCACAATGAAGTGAAACAGTTTTTCGTGACGTTGAACCACCGTCGACACGTTGGCAGGAAATGAGAAGCAGATTTCACACAAATATCTTTCATCTCCTTTTGTGTTGAATGACAATGAGACGGTCAATATTAGAGTTTGGAAAGCACACTTTTTTTTTTAATTCAAATGATAATTCTAACTGCAGCACAGATCGTAGGATTGATCCATAATTGACCAGGATTGGATTTTATGAAACACTTAACTTTTCAAGATGTATTTTAAAAAGTCAGCAACAGAGAAACGGCAGCTTCTTAATGTGGAATAATGAGCGTTTTCTCTGTGAATTAGAGTCAGGCTGAAGTTTATTTAATTAATTAGAGATGACTCCTAAACAGAGCGGTTTACTGACTCACATTTACACCAAAAAGAATTGGTTTTAGCTGAAAAAATTAGAATATCCTAAAAGGAAATGTTCCACCAACCAGTGAGAAACCTCTCACTTCTAACCTCAGCTCTGCAGACCTGCCGGTGTAGATGATAATGATGTGGACCAACATATGGTTGGTGAGAAGAGAAGTGCATCGCATTAGCATCTGATTAAAACAACACTCCCTGTGAGCAGCTTCAGAAACAGAGACGTCGTCGAGAAAATTAGAATGTATAATTTTTGTTATGCAGAGTATTTCAAGTGTAAAAACTACAGTGATCTTGGGTAGTATTCATTTATTTATTTATTTTTTCATTCAGCTATTTTATGCAGGGAAACTGAATTAGCTGATAGAAAATAGTCTGTGTATGTATATATTTATATATATGTAGTTGTATAATTTTAAAATAAAATTAGAAATATTTACAATATACATTGCAAAAATGTACAATATATACATATGTACATTTCTACAGAAGGTTAAAAACATTTGCAATTTTACATTAGAATGCTGAGGAAGCAACAACAAGAAAATGTAAAATATAAAAACTTTTGTCAAATATTTAGCAGATGCGGTTGTTGTATTTTCTTCTTCCTGTTGTTGTTGTTGTTGACGTTGTTGACGAACACTGTGCCTCCAGAGTCTGGACTCGGTCATAAAATCCCGGCTTCACTGTGTTTTGATGTTTGTTTAAATGCCAGTGGAATTTCCATCCACAGGCTTTACCCCAACAATGGCTNGAAGGCATCTTCAGTGAGCAGCCTGTGGAGGCCACAGCACGGCTACGTGGGTCATGTGACCACAGCGATGCTTGGTGGAGGGTGAACAGCTCAAACACAGACCTCTGATGTTGACGTCACAGACGTGGTCAGTAGCTCTTTAGGTTTTACTCTTATTTGAAAAAAAAAATGGGTCACGTCTCAAACTTTAGACAAAACACACATACTAACATGTACTGTATAATTTCATCTTAGCTTTACGTCTGACTTAGCTGTTAAGCAATACATCCACTAGGGGCAGTGTTGAGTTCAGCATCACTAAGACTCCGACTATACAAATAGTTTAAAAAATATATCAGAAATAACGAGAGAATTATTAAACAGAATAAATTCTTTTTATATCCCCAAACTGATCCCAGACCACGGTTTGGACCGACCTGGTCCTCAGTCCATGACGTCAGTCCTTCACGCCACACCTTTTAATGTGTTTCACACTAATTAACAATTAGAAAATTGCAGAATTTTCTGGAGGCAACAATCTGCGTCCTGAATCTGTCACTCACCTCTGGGTGTGTGTGAAGGGAGGGGGGGGGAAGTGCAGAGGGTGAGAGAATTCAGGGGAATCTGTGTTAAGAGAAAAGTCATCAGTTACTGATAATAACAGCTGGATCAGCCGCCACTCCCCAGGTGAGATGGAGATTTTATTTTTTCTCTCCGTTGTGCGTGGGAGCTTTTATTTGCAGTTTGCACGTCATGAACTGGCAGAATATTAAAAAGTACTGTGAGAACACACACACACACACACACACACACACACGTCATTGATCCAGGGCTGTTCGTTATCTCATGATTTCAGTCTGAAATCCGTCCTCTGGATGAGACTCGGTGATGAGTTTGCAGCTCCTGTGTCTGTTGTTAATTAGATGAAATGTAACGAAAGATAAAAGAAGAACGTGTACCCCCCTAGTGGTCGCTAGTTGTAGCAGCTTACTCTCTTTTCCACCTGGTTGACACTTTACGACTTGAAGCTACTGAGGCTAGATTTTATTTTCTTTTTATAATTATGGTCATGTTTATGTGTTTATTTATTTCTAATCTGATGTGGTTCTAAAATTGTTCTAAGATTTATCTGGCTGTCAAACACATTACTGCCATCTACAGGCCAAAGTGTGTGCATCAACGTTTTCCTGATGGCAGAAACTGTACACACACTAATCAAAATAATTACGTTAAATTCTCACCCAGCTGTTCTGTACGTTAACGTATTTTACAGAAACCCAAATATTTCATTTTCCCCATAGTTACCCTGCCGTTCTACTGTTAATCCCTCTGTGCCTGCACGCTCTGGAAAGAAGCTAACTTTTCTTACAGCCTGTTTTTTTTATTTGCAGTTGGTGAATTTCAGTAACATTTTAAAATAACTAGGGAGTTGATGGATTTAACGTCAAGACATGTGAGTTATTGATCCTCTGCTGCCTCCATCAGGAGGTCTGAAGGTGTTTGTTATCGTGTGATTTCTGCGTCTGAAATCCTTGGGCTTTTGGAGCATGTGAGTGAACACAGTGAAATATTTAGGTGAGGACTGAGACCTGAAATACATCTGGACGAGGCCTCAGGTTTGTCAGCTCCCCGACACTTTCGTCTGAATTCCGTTTTTCAACATGTTTTATTTGCCTCCCGTTTGACCCAGTCTTTGGTCTTATGGCCCCCTCCTGCCTGAACTGTGAACAGCGCGTGTCGACCACCACAGATGAAAGAGCTCACTGACCCTGAACTGCCAAGGTCCAGTGTTCGAGTCCTACCCACTGTCACCTGTTCAATTATGAATGGTTGGAGTTGAATCTCATGCTAGTCCACATGAACAATGCTCATGTTGATGATACTGGAAGGTTGGGGGGAGCGTGAGGGGAGGTTGGAAACTGAAACAACTGTTTTAATTTCCACCAACGATTCAAAGGTGTTGACAGTTAGTCCCTCTGTGGCTGCTCCATGACTCTTTAGGGTTTTTTTTTTTTTTTTGCAATCTGTGGCCCAGAGTACAGAGCTGTGGATGAATTAAAAGGAGTATACAGCATCAACTGCTCGGCTCTTCTCGAACTACAGTAGTACAGTAAAATGTATTGTTTGAGGCTAATTTTGTTGTTAATGCCTCTGTGCCTGCACTTGAAGAAAAGGCTTAAACTGGTCTTAAAATGAATGAAATTCCATGAGAAGTTTTTATTGTTCATCGTCTCAATATGTGTTAAAAAATTAACTTTGTATCAGATTAACCACCATATTTTTCAATTTCTAATGTGTTAAATAAAAATATTACTTTAATCTTAATCCAAATTTAATCTAATCGGGATTTAATCTGGAACCTTTATTCCAGCCACAGGTTCAAATACTGTTCCATGTCGTTAGAAATGGCAGCATGCACTGTTATGTTTTTTAAACCCTACGTAATTCTGTCCGTTTTCCGGAAACAGACGAGGATTACCGACAACTGCCGAAGTCGTGCACGGTCGGAGCTGCTGATGCTGCTGTGACAGAAGAGCGGCGGACCTTCAGGAGGCAGAACTCTGCTGTTACCGGGATCAGTGAACACACTCTGAGGCAGGAAGGAGCACCAGCCCCGGGCAGCTGAGAGGAGGATTTACCCCACCCAGCTCACACTGCCCCCGCAGCCTTTCTGCCCTTTCAGTCAGAGGATTAAGAACCTTGATTGTTGCGGGACTGGACTGGTGGAAGTGAGGGGAGGAGAGGAGACTGACTCCTGGCTTAAGTCTGAGGAGGAGTGAGGAGGACCTTCACTGCTCTCCTGCTCCACAGCTTCTTCTGCGGGGATGCCAGCCTCCAGAGGAGCCTAGAACATGGTAAGTCCTGACCTGAGCAGAGGGAATGTTGGGAAAAGTGTGGTGGGAAAATGCGCACTGCATCCACAGAACGGCACCTGACACAATGTGACGCACGATGTAAATTAAATCACTCATTAATAATTAAAATGCATTTCCCATTTCGGACTCACATGGTCCAAACACATCGACACGAACACGGTGACATAATAGTTTGTGCAAATTTAACGGCAAGTCCAGGATTTCATCCAGGTTTTTGTGCGCAAATGAAGGGGGAATGTGGAATTGAACAGACGGGATCAGCGGATGAAAGAATTCAACCCATTATGTTAAAGAGTTAAAATGTTGAATTCAGGAGGTTCGAACTCCTGTCCATCACTGCAGCTCCGCTGTAGACCGGGAAGAATGGCACGTTTGTGATGCGCATCGAAAACCTTCGCACATCCAAACGTCCAGAGCCACAGAGGGGTTTTTGGATAGAAGACCGTGTGTCGTAATGTTCATGGACTCAATTAGAATCTTTTCTCATTCACTCCAGTTCTCTCACAGAGAGATGTGTTGTCCCCTAAGCTCAGAATCCACTCCAAAAATCCTGGTATTTTTATTTTACTTTTTTTTTTACCTTTAAATGTTGACTTTTAATCGGGAGCCTTGTTGGACTGATGCTCCTCTAAGGACTGCGCCTGGAAAGTGTGTGGATTATTTATTTATTCAGCAGCAGCAGCACAACATGTCAGCTCAATAATACATCCCATCATGCTCAGTATAACGCTCTCATTATTAGAAAAGAAAAAAAAAGAAGAAAAAAACACTGGTGTGTGTTTCGGCGGCTGCTCAACTTTGGACCCGCTCCATCTCGGGTTTTCCTGCTCATTATCAGTCGGTGGCTTCACAAGACTCTGCTTTGGTCTTTCATCAGCGGAGAAACATGCTCTGTCCACGACTGAGGGAGGAGGAGAGGGGGTGAGGAGGAGGAGGGAGAGGAGAGGGAGCGTCACTCTGTTTGACACAGTGATAATTGGCTGTCAGTTCACCTGGATTTGACAGAGCCCAAATTAGGCTGGATGGAGAGAGAGAGAGAGAGAGGGAGAGAGAGGGGGAGAGGGTGAGGGAGAGAGGGTGAGGCAAGCGGAGTGAAAAAGTGCAACAGATGGAGGAGAAGGAGAGGAAGGAGGCATGGGGAGAGGCTGGAGAGGAGGGTGAGGACGAGGAGGAGTCATGGGAAACCAGTGGAGGACGTGGAGATGGTTCACTGTTTGGTGTTTGTGTGTGTGTGTTTGTGTGTGTGTGTTTGTGTGTGTGTGTTTGGTAGTTGTGTGGACTAGTGTGTCACCGTTGTGCACCGTTTTCTTCTTCTTTTTTTGTTTTTTGTTTTTAAGGGACATCCTGCATCACATCCCCCTGAGTTCTGGAATCGGGATTAGAGTCAGGAATGATCTGAGTTTGGATTAGGATTAGGATTAGGCATCCATTTGTAGTGGGTGAGGGGTTTGGAGTTAATTTTCTGAACTTCCATGATCAACAGCAGATCTGAACTCCTTGAAGGCTCCAAGTATGTGGTTCCTCTGGGAATCGAACCCAGAACTCTCTGTTCGTCACCATGATGATCATATCTTAATGAAATGTTAACAAAATGCAGAGCTGTGTGTTTGTTACTGGTCTATCTATACTTCAGTGGACGTGCTTTTGGAAAATACAATTGTCGTGTTGATGATTTGTCCTTGTGGGGACATCTTCACTGAGTATTTTAAGGGTCAAAAATGTAGTTTGGAGTCGGGATTAGAACTATGGTCAGTGGTGGAGTTAGGGTGAGATTTTAGATGAGGCGTACATTTGTATTTAAGGTAAAGGTGAGGGTCTTTGGAGTACATGATGACAGTAAGTACTCACGGAGCACAACACACTGCGTGTGTGTGTGTAATGAGAATGTCATGGAGCTTCATCAACATTCCTCAGTCCCTTATTCTGAGCTAACTTAATTCCAAGCTGAACCACAGAACTGAGTCCTGTCTTTCTGATGATTCCTTTTAGTTGGGAATGTTGGGAACAGAAAGAATGTTCTTTCAGCTTTACATTAAAGCAGCAGCCCCAGCTCCATACTCCGGGGCCAACAGTAGGATTTTTCATATTTCATTTTTGGACACATCAATAATTCAGCGGTGAGAGGACCGTTGTAGGACTGACGTTGACCTTCTGAGTTTTTACAATCCATTTGGTACGATTTTCTTTTTTTATTCCATATCAATAATTCCATCATTTGGATAAACATAACATACCTGCTGATGTTTCGGCAAAAGGCGTCACCTTTAGGAATGTCGAATAAACACCATTCAGTACATCATCATCATCATCATCATCACCTTCATCACCATCACCTTCATCATCATCATCTCCTTGTCTGCAGCTCTGATGATTTGATCCTGTTTTCTGTCAAGTGCTCTTGACACGCCCCCTGCTGGTCTGTGTGGCTGCTTTCAGCGTCGTCACCATCACATCAGCACTGGTGATTTGCATAAATATGGGATGTCACTCAGATCCAAACTAATGTACTGCAGAGTCCATGTACTATACAGTACAGTGATGATGACTGGTCAAGAGCACTGAGTCCATTTACTGAGAACACGTGTGAACCTGGTGCGGCGGCAGACAGTGTTGACAGGAAGTGTTCACCTTTAGTAACTTTTGTACCGTGTAATTATCACAATATTCAAATCAGTCATTCTGAAAGTTTTTGCATATATTACTTTGTGGCAGTCGCTCTTTAAGTGGATGTGGAGTGGCCAGTACTCAGTACAGAGGCGTGTACTGTGTACTGTATATGTAGAAGAACTAGAACAACTAGAAAATCATATGATTACATTTCTGCGGCAAACAAAGTTTCCAGTCGATGCGGGAGCGGCTGAACGCTGCTCTGTTTGTTTACTCCACTCACTGCTGAGGCCAAACACCAACAGTAAATCATTAAAAATCTTGACAGTGTAGCTCTAATGATTTCATGATTAAAAAAACCCTCCAAAAAACCCAAACTTTCCCCTGAGGCTGTAGAAGTTCTCCCTCTCCCACGTGACACCTTCACGTTTAACACACATTCAATAGAAACATATTTTATTCATATCTGATTTTCATTTCTAGACCAGACAGCTTTTCTATAATTTAATGTAATGACGCAATAATAGGAATTTTATAACCACCAGCGTTTGACTCTGTCTGGGCTCCTCAGACTCCCTGAACATCACTGAAGTCTTCTGCTGCTCAGATTAATGCACAGATTGGGCTGCTTCTTAAAGGTACAGTACGTAGGCGAGAAAACTGAAGGAGTTTTTCTATGATCTCATTTCTGTTATGGATTAACAGATATTCCTGTAGATTAAACAGCTCTCTTTACATTAGCTTTGATCCAGTGATGTCCGATGTTAACTTTTTGCCGATATCCGTTGGCAATATTGTCCGAACTCTTGATTTCAGATTCCGATATCAACCAATACTGATAAATGCAGCTGTCTGGGTTAAAGCCAGAGGACACAGGTCACTGTGTGCAGTGGACGGCCAAACCCAGACATTGCGTTATCAGGGTTTTATTATCAGAGGAAAAACCAATACCGGTTCTTACCGATATTGCATAATTATGCTAACATCGTCCGATAATTATTGGCTAGCCCTAGTTTGATCCTTTTTTTTTAAGTTATGTTTTTTGAGTTAAATGATCTGCTGTGACTTTTAAACCACCAGAGTTTTGGTTTCATGGACGGCTGTGATCCTCCCTTCTCCCTGCTCCTCACACTCCTCCCTCCTCTGCACTGATAGTGTGTAATTTCAGGGATGAACAACCGTGAAAACATGGATGCAGAGAGCTGTGTGTTCTGTTTGCACGGCACCCCCCCCCCACTCCCCAGGTTAGACCTGTGGGCTGTGAACTGTCCCACACGCTGACACTCCTGCCCCCAGCCCTAATGGAACCATAATAAACCCATTTAAACATGTCTGCTGTTGATGAGGTCAAACTTCACTGCAGACTGACACAATCACAAAACCAACCAGAATTAAATAATAATAATATATATATATAGTATTCGATGCACACTCACCTGGATTAAATTAAAAAAAAAGTCTTGAACCTCTGCTAGATGGCACTGTTGACAGTGGAGATGAAAAACTCAGTCCTTTAAATATAAATTATTTAATCAAGCATTGCGTTTTATTTTCTAAAAGTAAACTTCATCCAAAAGAACAGAGAGAACCCACGGTAGAACATTTCTGACAAACTGAAGCAGCAGAACCGTGTGCTAGAAACTGTATTATTGAAAATCCATACTCCTTCGAACAAGAGAGTAATTTCACCAAATGATCAAACTTTTTCAGACAACCAGGAACTTTAAAAATAAATAATTTGAACCGTCAGCCAGACACCTCCTCCTCATTTGTCCACAATGACTCAGTAATTCCGAGAACATCCGTAACCAGCCATGCAGTTTGGATCAATTTCCCAGGTTGTCACTGAAGGCAGCAAATGGCTCGGTCCGCTCGTCCACCGAGCTCCTCAGCTTTAATACATACAGTCTCTACTGTGATGGCAATTAAAAAGTTGAGACGAGTTGTTTCTGCTGCGTCCTCCTCCCGGTCTGCACAAAAGACAGGTGCGTTTCCTGTCCACAAACACATGCACACACACACACACACAAACTTTCTAGTTTTTCTGGACTGCTCTGAGCGTCAGATCAAAGAAGTAGGTCATCGTTAACATCCGTACGCCGCTCCTGAATCACTGGGTGTACTTCAGGACACCAGTCCAGCCCTGGTGGAGAAAGGGGGCGCTGCTGAGTTAAATTTCTGATCTGTGATCACAGTTCTCTACGATCCCAAACAAAGCCCTGGTGAAACTGGTGTCGCTGAACGCGCCGAGGCGTCGTACTCACCCCAGCAGTCGCACACCCCTCTCCTCTCTGCCCTTATTTTCATCCATCCTCTCATTTTCAAACCAAGCACGCTGCAGGTTTTTGGGACCAGTTGGTAATTTCTGCCTC